GGTCTGACTCCGCTTCACTGTGCAGCTCGGAGTGGACATGAAACAGCCGTGGAGCTGCTGCTGGAGAGAGGAGCGCCTCTGCTGGCCAGGACCAAGGTGGGTCACACACCCGTAGGACCTTTTATCTCTACGGGCCTCGACTCTTATCGGTAACGTAACAAAGCTAATTGTGCTGCGTTCATTGAACGAGTCCAAGTATAGAATTGACTATCAAGATAATTTTAAACAAAACTGTTAATTATGTGTGTGATTTAGATATGAAATATTTAATATGGGGCGACGGTGGCGCAGGAGTTAAGTGTCGTCCCGTAATCGGAAGGTTGCAGGTTCAAGCCCCGCTCAGTTTGTCGCTGTTGTCGTGTCCTTGGGCAAGACATTTAACTCCCCCTTGCTTGCTGGTGGTGGTCGGGGGGACCGGTGGCGCCTGTGCTCGGCAGCCTCACCTCTGTCAGGGCGCCCCAGGGCAGCTGTGGCTACATCGTAGCTCATCACCGCCAGCGTGTGAATGGGTGAATGACTGATATTTCATTACCACGGTTGAGCCCATGTAGGGGAAACACTGGAAATAATCATTAAAGTTTTTTTTTTTAGTGAACCACACCTTTAAAATTGTAGTGAGGTTTGTTTTGGTGCAACTCTTCTTCTGCCATTCCTGCTAGCAGACCATGTCGTGGTGTTTCTTCCGGCACCACTAACACGGATTCTGCATTCTGATGAATTAGACATGCTGCAATGGTTAGGTGTTTGGTACTGGGAGGACGGGGATGACTGGTTTCTGCTGAAAACCACACAGATGTGGAAGGGAAAACCTTTAGCTGCTAGCTAAAACGGTTCACTAACACTGACTAAACCTAAATGAACTCTCCCCCACGTCTAGAACGGGCTCTCCCCTCTACACATGGCTGCACAAGGTGACCACGTCGAATGCGTCAAACACCTTTTGCAGCACAAGGCTCCTGTTGACGATGTTACGCTGGACTACCTGACGGCGCTGCATGTGGCGGCCCACTGTGGACACTACAGAGTCACCAAACTGCTGCTAGATAAGAGAGCCAGTCCCAACGCCAGGGCACTGGTAGGTCATGAGGCAGGATCCACCTGAGGGATCATCCCGCCAACCTGCAGGAACCCGCTGCACCTTGATTTGTTTACGGTCTCCTTCCTTGTTTCCTCCACAGAACGGCTTCACTCCGCTGCACATAGCCTGTAAGAAGAACCGAGTGAAAGTGATGGAACTGCTGGTCAAATATGGAGCTTCTATCCAGGCCATCACAGAAGTGCTTTACAATTCTTATTGAAATGTGTTCAAAGTGCATGCTGGTATTCAAAAAGCAGCCGTCTGATTGTTTCTGTGTTGTGCTCAGTCGGGTCTGACTCCCATCCACGTGGCAGCTTTCATGGGTCACTTGAACATCGTCCTGCTGCTGCTGCAAAACGGAGCCTCACCGGATGTCAGCAACATTGTGAGTGACGGGAGGAGGAGGAGAAGCACGTTGACCCGTTCGTTCAGTAGGTTTAAGTGTGTTTTCTTCTTAGCGTGGAGAAACAGCCTTACACATGGCAGCCAGGGCGGGTCAGGTGGAGGTGGTCAGATGTCTGCTGAGGAACGGAGCTATGGTGGATGCACGAGCGCGGGTGAGATCACAGCAGCGGGCCTTTTCTAGGACCTTGGTAGGAAGGATTAAGTAAGTGCTGCTCACTGAACACTGGTAACCCTGCTCTCATCCAGGAGGACCAGACTCCCCTTCACATTGCATCCCGTCTGGGTAAAACGGAGATCGTGCAGCTGCTGCTGCAGCACATGGCCCATCCTGATGCCGCCACAACCAACGGCTATACCCCGCTCCACATCTCAGCCAGGGAGGGGCAGGTGGAGACCGCCTCAGTCCTGCTGGAGGCTGGAGCATCACACTCACTAGCCACCAAGGTGGGTGGAGGAGCTCTCCGACCTCCAGCAGTCTGAAAACAAAGTTCAGAAGTTAATGTTTCATTTACCGTACCGTACCATATGTTTTTATGAAGCACCATTTCAAAATAGCATGGCAGCTAACCAAAGTACTGGACAAAAACGCCAAATGCTTGATCAAGAAACGCAATAAGAACAGGCAAAATACATAAGAACAAAGCATAAATAGTCCGAGATAAAACATCCTACTAAAAACAATAAAATAGGAGAACAGTTAACAGCACTATAAAAAATAAAATAATGCGACGAATGATAAAAATATTTGAAATGGCACAAATAAAAGGAAATAAGCTACCAGATGGTGCGAGGTGCCAGAAGTGTGCAACTGAATCATAAAAATGGAATTAAAAACTCAGATCCGGTGCTGGATTGTCATCAAAGTGTCACAGAGGGAAGGCAATGCTAAAGAAGTGCGTTTTCAGGGCCGACTTGAAACTGCTGACAGAGGGAGCCAGACGCACACGGAGGGGCAGAGTTCCAGAGTTTTGGGGCTGCACAAGAGAAGGCACGCTCCCCCCCCCCGGGATTTGTACCGAACCGTCGGAACAACAAGCAGCGGATGATCTGCTGACCGAAGGGCACGGGTGGGACCATATGGGGTCAGCAGGTCCTTCAGATAGGATGGGGATGGGCGGTACAAAGCCTTGTAAACATATAACAAGACCTTGAAGTTAATCCTAAATTTGACTGGGAGCCAGTGTAAATCTGCGAGGACGGGTGTGATGATGTGCATGCCTCTGTCGGTTAAAAATCTGGCCGCAGCATTTTGAACCTTCTGCAGTTTGCTTAAGGCTGAAGCATTAATCCCAATCAGGACAGAATATGCGTAATCCAGACATGAAGTAATGAAAGCATGAATGACTGACTCAAGATCCGGGCGTTTGAGGATTGACTTAAGACGAGTGATGCGGCGGAGTTGGAAAAAGCAGGACTTGACAGTAGCGTTGACTTGTGAAGACATTGAAAGGTCAGGGTCCAGTTTCACACCTAGGCTAGAGGCACATGATTTGAGATTGAGTGGATGAGTTGAGACATCTAAAGCACCATTCGTGTCAGTGGGGCTAAAAAGTATGGCATCTGATTTGCTGTCATTTAGCCGTAGGCAGTTTTGAGAAAGCCAGGATCTGACCTGGGAGAGGCATTCTGACATTAGAGAAAATGAGTGCTGTTGGTTGATTTGAAGGTAGATCTGGCAATCATCTGCATGAAAGTGGTAGTTAACCCCGAGACTTGCTAAAATCTTACCAAGTGGTAGCATGTAAATAGAAAAGAGGAGAGGACCCAGGATGGAGCCCTGCGGTACTCCCCATGGAAGTGGGACATTGGGAGAAGAGCAGTCTCCAACATGAACACTAAAACACCGACCATTAAGGTACGACTTAAACCATTCGAGGGCAGTACCGGTCACACTTGTTTACCTCCTCTCTCTCTCATTCCCTACCTCACCACCGTCTGTGAATTAAAGACCAAGATTAAAGTCCCATAGCTGTCACTCACACTGGTGTGGTGATAATCGTCCTCTGCAGTTGACCCATCCCCATTAGTGAGATGTGAGCTGCAGCTGTGACCGTGCTCAGGAACCATTTGGTGGTTTAATTCCCCAATCCAACCCCTAAAGCTGCGTGCCAAGCAGGGAGGCGTTGGGTCCCATTTGGTACGACCCGACCAGGATTTGATGTCCAATCTCCCAGTCGCAGGGTGGACATGTTACCACTGAGCGGGTAATGCTGCAGCACTTCCTGTGATTTCTCCACAAGTCCGCTGCTTTTTATTGTTATTGCTTGTCACTAACAGGGCTCAGGACAGGAAAACAGGGAATACAGTACAAAGAACCAAAAGATGAACACGTACAGCCGTGCAAAATTTCACAACTTGTGCTTAGAGATTTCCTTTTTAGGGTGTTTGCTGAAATTCAGTTATAAATGCATCATGAACACAGGGAGCACACCGATTCAGCAGCTTAAATGCGATGCACCGCTGACCGTTTGCAGCATTTCTTTCTGCTTACTGAAGCCCCGATGGCAAAGAGCGCCGAGGTGAAATGTTAGTTCAGCAGTTGGAGAGAGCTGTTTGTTTTTTTTAGGGCAAAATGGAAAACTCCCAGAGGAATGTAAACAGATTTGCAGCATCTAGAGACTCGGAGCTACTTTTTGTTTAGCAGAAAATAAAATGAGCCCCAAACATGGACGCCCAAGCATGAAGCTGGAGATGGTTTTAGTACCCTTTGACCCTAAAGCTGCTGCTTGCGCCCGAAGCCTCGGTACCATCTGTGATTCCTCTGCAGGATTTCAGAGATGCTCACCTGAGGGTTCAGCTCTGTTTTGCTTCCAGAGTCAGAAGGACTGATTTATTTATACCGTCACAAGAACAGGTCACATTTATCAGAGTTCAGAGGTCCGGCTCTGTCTTGCTGTCGACACCGTAACACCCTCTCATCCTGCTCCTCTCTGGGGAGAAGGGGTGTGGCTGTTGCCTTGGAAACCAAACCATGAAAGCTTTCATGTTGTAACATCTATTTATAGATATATCTTCTTTTTCTCTCCTCCAACTTTCATGACCCGCGTTACCTGTTTTACCTCTGAACGAAACGGTAACAAACCTTCTGCATCAGTGCTCCCTCTGCTGGAAGGAATCAGGTTCTCTGTAGTGTTGCTTGCACACTTAAATAAATTAGAAGTTTAGATGAGGCTGTAGAAGGACACCCTGGACAGGTCCTCAGTCCACCATTCTCACACACGAAGACAACCAACCGGTCACAGCTAGGGACCGTCTCCAGTTAACTCAACACACATGCAGGGGGAGAACATGCTAACGCCATGCAGAAAGACCAAGGGCCAGGATTTGAACCCGCAGCCTTCTCGCTGTGCAGCAACAGGACTGCCAGCTACCCGCCGTGCAGCCCTCTACCAGACACTAGAAATGCTACATTTAGCTGCTGCTAGTTTAGAATCAAATCAAATCAAAGATACTTTATTAATCCCAGGGGGAAATTAGAGTTTCAGTACACACAATTCAGAGATCAGACACACATGGGCAAGACACATGACAAGAATTGGTGACTGTGGTCATTCACAACCCTGAGTCGTGCTAACTAAATAGAGATCAGAAGGTTACTTGAGGATTGGTTCAGGGGGAGGGAAAAAAAGCAACTCAAGAGTTGCTCTCCCACCAGGAGGGCAGCTTTGCTCTGCAAAAAAACTCCTCAGATAGATATGCAACAGACTTCAGACAACACAACATAAGTGTCCACTAGGTGGGGGTGGTGGGTTGGGACTATCCCCACTTCAGTTCCTGCAGCCACGATAAGCAGCACATGTCACCTCGGTGTGGATGGGGGAGGAGCATTGAGGGTTGGAGGGTTGCAGTGACCCTGGAAGCTTCAGCGGCCTTCCCACAGTCCCGCCCAGGCTGGGATAAGAGACAGAGCTGAGTTGCCATAGCGACAGCACATTCCACATATCTTCTGAGGGGGGAGTTTTCGTTGGAGCCTTGCAGGCTCAAGGGCGCCAGATTCCGATTAGAAATTGTTTTGGGGCCAGACAGAGATAATTTCCTCTCTGTCTTACAGTTTGTTGGTCCTCAACCTCTCAGAATCCCAATAATGGACATTAATCTATCCCAATCCGTGCTGATTCGTCCACTCTCTCCTTGATGGCATCCATCTTTGTGCCGATGAATGAATCTCGGCCAAAGTCCCAAGCTCGACATTTATGTGAGTCTGTGAATTCATAGCACGGTGCAAACCATCTCTGAGCTCCGGGATGAGGCCAATATTCCTCGACAGGTCGTTAATTTTCCAGTAAGCCAGGTAGCCTCCAAGGCCAATCAGCAGGAAACCCGACACCAACACCACGAATGTCCACACGTCTTCAGAGTCCTCCACAGACAGCTGGTCTGTCCCGGAGGGGCATCCGGGAGCCCCATCTCCCGTTCTCATGGTTGTAAAATTTGATCAACCACGTTGAGTGACCAACGGACGAGATCCATTTTAGTGATTTCAGTTTCCAGAAAAATGCAGAAGCAGCCGTGCACCCAGCACACACACACAGACAAAGGGCCCTGAGGATAAGATATGGAGGAGAGGAGGAAAAAAGCGTCTGCACCCTTCAAGAGCCGGAAGAAAACAGAAATGGTTGTGAATGTAAATCCTGTTGCGTTACAACGTGCTGGCAGAGCCGATTTTTGTTGCTCGGACAGAAACATGGAGCTGGACTTAGATATGTCAGAGACAAGCTGGCTTTGAACCCAACAAAGTTGTAAAAAGAAATATAAGCAGTTAAATGGAAGGAGACCGACCTGTTGGGACACAGATCTGACCTTCATTCCTCCTTCTCCCCACAGAAAGGTTTCACTCCCCTGCATGTTGCAGCCAAGTATGGAAACCTGGACGTGACCAAACTCCTGCTGCAGCGTTGTGCCCCTCCTGATTCTGCTGGAAAGGTAGAATTCAACATGAAGTCACTCTGCTGTAACTTGTGCTCGCAGGCTTTGAACCACCAGCGCCATGTCTGGGTTGTACGGACGGTTGTTATTAAATCTTTTCTATCACATGAGTTTTAAACTTGATGGTTTTCTGTGTGGAGGTTCGCCTGACTGCGGAGGCGATGGTAAGTTAGATGTTTCCTCATTTGGATTCAAACACGTGCTTCAAAACTTCAGAACAACCCAGCCTTCCACGGTGCTTTAACCCTTCACATGAATCCTCACTAACTCCTGTTTAATCCTCCTGCACCCCCGTCCCTCCCCACAGAACGGCCTCACGCCTCTCCATGTCGCAGCACATTATGATAACCAGAAGGTGGCGCTCCTGCTGCTGGACAAAGGAGCGTCACCACACACCATGGCTAAGGTGAGAAGCTGTATGACTAAGGCCTAGTCCACACATAGCCGGGCTTTTTGAAAAACGAATATCCGCCCCTCCAAAAACTTGCATCCACACCACCTCGTTTAAAAAGAAAACTGTCCACACGTACCCGGATAAATATGTTGTTAAGGACATGCCAGACCTGTAGGCGGCAGTACTTCCCCCGTTCTTAACCTCGTCCTTCGTCTGTGGTCTTCCGCAAGGAGCAGTAATTCCGCTTGCAAAAACAAACAAGCAGAAAGCGCTTGGACAATTGATAAAGCGAGCGCAGCTCTGAGGGCATCCATGCTGTCGGCTAGTGTAAACACAGGTCGCACACGTGATGTCAGCATTTTTTTGTCGCGGAAAGTGACGTTGCGGACCTCAAAACTCCGGTTTTGTCCGTCCACACGCAGACACCCAAAACGGAGAAAACGCAGATCTTCACTTTGGCCGGAGTTTTTAAAAAGATCCGTTTTCGTGTGAAAAAACTCCGTTTTCATGTGGATGACAGACCAAAGCGTAGCTGCCGGAGGACCTCGGGGCCGCAGAGAACGTTCATGTTTTTAAGTCAAGACTCAAGACCCGTCTTTTTAGGTTAGCTTTTATCTAAATATTTTCTACAGTTTTATTTCTCGTTTTACATGATTATATTTTATTACTTGCTTTGCATGTTCTAAATAATTATACTTTAGCACAGTTTTATTATTTAAATTATTATTTTGCTGTCTATATAATTTTATTTATTACTTATTTTCTAATTTTTGTCATTTATATTAGCTCATTTATTACATTTTTACTCATTTTAATCCAGTGTTTCCTCTGTGGGGGCCCTCTGCCCCGGGAGCGGTGGTCGACTGTAGCTTCCTGGGCGCTCTATAGGTGGGGGTCTATGCCCCCCCTCCAATGAGCCCCCTGACTTAGTGTGGAAGACCTGATGCTGCCGGGGCAGACGGCTCCTCTGATGGCGTTTCCTTGCGTTACCATACTTGGCTCATCTGGACTCAGCCTAATATAATTTTTACTTGTGTATGTGTGTGAGTCTGTGTGTGCGTGTGCTTGCATATGTTTGTAAATGATTTTAACCTGTTATGGGAATCTGGGGTCATTTTGTAAAGCACTTTGAATCACACTTTGTTTGAAAAGCGCTTTAGAAATAAAATTTGATTGATTGATTGAAAAATATCTACGTTTTGGCGGATCCCCGGCTACGTGTGGACAGGGCCTTAATGTCACATCAGTATTGCTAATAAAACCATTTAATATCAAATCTGCATTTAACACCAGCTGCTTTACAAACCCTTTAGTTTTAGGATAACTCCCTTGCTTTCACATGCAGGCCTTCTAAATACTTCAGTTTCATTTATTCAGCTTCAAACTGTCACAAAAATAAACACGCCTACTTAGAGCTCGTGTCTGACCTCATGACATTTTGGCTTGGATCACTGATAAACGAGTGTGAGCTTTTCTCTGAGCTTCAGCCCTGCACCGAGTCTCTAACTATGGTTCTGTCCGGTTTAGGAGGTCCATTGGGTCTCTTGCTCCCTGACCTAGTCCTAGTTGAACTCTGCGAGTCCCCTTCTGTCAGCTCTCTCTGGTTTTGGCCTCTGTTCCCACACGCAGCAGTTCGTTTGCTCGCAGCCCAAGACTTTGAGGCCAGTTAGGTCGATGAAATCTGGCGTTAACATTTTTTGAAGCTCAAAGAGCAGTACCGGTAGCTGGTTTGGTTTTCAGCCCCACTCCAAACAATAAAACAAATGAACCAGGTTTAAATGCACAATCAGAAATAATGGCATGATGAAGGTCAGAAGACTGTCCATCTGACATGTGTGTGTGCTGGTTAAACACCACTGGGTGACTGTGAGGAGCAGTGTGGGCTCAGGGCAAGGATGGACTGCAGGACCCTTGTCGTGGATGACTTGGGCCTGCAGGAGAGATCAGTAGTAAATAAAATCCTTTGAGACTCGGCGTTAACGTCTGACTCCAGTGTCTGTCCCACACCCACCAGAACGGCTACACTCCCCTGCACATCGCAGCTAAGAAGAACCAGATGGATATTGCTGCAGTGCTGCTGCAGTACGGCGCAGAGACCAACATCCTGACCAAGCAGGGTGTCACTCCCCTTCATCTGGCCGCCCAGGAGGGCCACGCAGACATGGCTGCTCTGCTGATCAGCAAGGGGGCACAAATCAACGTCCCCACCAAGGTGATGATGAGCTCAGAGCTCCGGGTCTTCCCTGTGTCTTTACTAGCGCTTCTTCACGTTACTGCTCTGTTTCCTCATGCAGAGTGGCCTGACTGCCCTCCATCTGGCAGCCCAGGAGGATAAAGTATCTGTGGCTGAGATCCTCACCAAGAACGGAGCCAGCCTGGACCAGCAGACCAAGGTGAGTCTAAACCCTCCTCTGAGTGTTGGTGTTTATTACAGTTCCTCGTGTTTGTGTTTTCATTGTCTCTGATGATCTGTTGTGCCACAGCTGGGCTACACTCCGCTAATTGTGGCATGTCACTATGGTAACGCAAAGATGGTCAACTTCCTGCTTCAGAATGGAGCCAGTGTGAACGCCAAGACCAAGGTAGACCAGCGTCATATGCCACCTGGAGTTTGACTCCAGGTTAAATTAGATTTCATCTTCCTCTGTTGATGTGTAACAGGATGTGTTTGTCCCCAGAATGGATACACTCCTCTTCACCAAGCAGCCCAGCAAGGAAACACACACATCATCAATGTTCTCCTGCAACACGGTGCCAAGCCCAATGCTATTACCGTGGTGTGTAAACACTCATACACGCATGGAGGTCCACACCTTTGCAAACACACATCTGATATCTGTTTGATGTTCCTTTTCCCAGAATGGTAACACAGCGTTGGGAATTGCTCGTCGACTGGGCTACATCTCAGTGGTGGACACTCTGAGGGTCGTCACCGAGGAAATCATAACCACAACAACGGTACGCCACACACTCGCCCTGCCGAGGTTAGCTCCTGAACGAGGGGGCTTGGAGGGACACAGATGATACAGGAGATGATTGAACAGATCTAAAATACCTACTTAAACATCAGACTAAAAATATTACAGGTGTCCTTCTGTTATGGAGATTCAATGCAATCTTTCCATCCAAAAACTGAAAAGCTGTTTAAATCAGCATTTTATTAGATCTATATTAAAATCAGGAGCTAGTTCTTCATCCTTTATAGCCAAATGTAGTAAGAGCCGTTGGAGAAGGTCCGCAGGTTGAGCACCCCATATCTGGTTTCAGATGAAGTCGGTTTTGGTGTTTTTATTTTATCTTCGTCGTGCATCAGTACCACAGCATGCTGCTTCCACCACCATGCTTGACAGGTAGTTAACTTTGTGACACAATTAGGGATGAGTACCGAATTTGGTACTTTTAATTCAATTCAATTCAATTCAAGTTTATTTATATAGCGCCAAATCATGACAAGAGTCGTCTCAAGGCACTTCACATAATAAACATTCCAATTCACAGTTCATTAAGCCAATCAGAAATAATGTTTCCTATATAAGGAACCCAGCAAATTGCATCAAGTCACTGACAAGTGTCAGTGACTATACAGCAATCCTCATACTAAGCAAGCATGCAGCGACAGTGGAGAGGAAAACTCCCTTTTAACAGGAAGAAACCTCCAGAGAATCCTGGCTCAGTATAAGCAGCCATCCTCCATGACTCACTGGGGATCAAGAAGACAGAGCAGGCAGACAAAGACACACACACACACACACACACACGCACGCACGCACGCACACACACACACACACACACACACACACACACAGACAAGTAATGTGTCTATAGTTATATTGTGATGTCTTAGTAAATATTGTATTTGGTGAAAGATAAACTTTATTGTATTTATCCTAGTGGATCTATAATTAAACGGATAAACTAGTATTAGCACATCAAAAGTCAATGAAAACAAAAAGTTATTATCAGGACTTTTAAGCCACAGTACCGACTGAGTACCAAGTCGCATCACATGAAACATTGCCTTGTTTTGGTACCCGTGCCGTGCGCCGGTGCAACGTCATCAGTCACTGTGGGCAAGCTGTAAACAGAGCAGCATGGCAGAGAGGGAGTGTTCTGAAGTTTGGGTCCACCTCACTAACTGGGATGGGTTACTGGGTGATGATGAAACCAGTGACAACGATCTGGGTGTGGGGCATCTTAATCTGCTCCAGCAGCTAAATAAACTGATTAAGCTGACGTTAGCTTGGTAGTTTAGTTTTTGTTTACGTAGCTAACGGTGTGTTCTCTTTCTCCTGGGAAGTTCCAACTTCTGAGTAGGAAAATAAAACTGTTTGAAAAAGAACAACAAAATGAATGAAGATACACAGTAAACGTAGTTTACAGCAGAGATGTTCGCTTCAGTTTAATTAACAGTTTATAAAACTACAAGAACCACCATCACACAGTTTATAAAAATACAAGGACCACCATCACACAGTTTATAAAACTACAAGGACCACCATCACACAGTTTATAAAACTACAAGGACCACCATCACACAGTTTATAAAACTACAAGAACCACCATCACACAGTTTATAAAACTACAAGAACCACCATCACACAGTTTATAAAACTACAAGAACCACCACCACACAGTTTATAAAACTACAAGGACCACCATCACAGTTTATAAAACTACAAGATCCACCATCATACACTTTATAAAACTACAAGAACCACCATCACACAGTTTATAAAAGTACAAGGACCACATCACACAGTTTATAAAACTACAAGGAACCACCATCACACAGTTTATAAAACTACAAGGACCACCATCACACAGTTTATAAAACTACAAGGAACCACCATCACACAGTTTATAAAACTACAAGGACCACCATCACACAGTTTATAAAACTACAAGAACCACCATCACACAGTTTATAAAACTACAAGAACCACCATCACACAGTTTATAAAACTACAAGGACCCACCATCACACAGTTTATAAAACTACAAGGACCCACCATCACACAGTTTATAAAACTACAAGGACCACCATCACACAGTTTATAAAACTACAAGGACCACCATCACACAGTTTATAAAACTACAAGGACCACCATCACACAGTTTATAAAACTACAAGGACCACCATCACACAGTTAATAAAACTACAAGGACCACCATCACACAGTTTATAAAACTACATGGACCACCATCACACAGTTTATAAAACTACAAGAACCACCATCACACAGTTTATAAAACTACAAGGAACCACCATCACACAGTTTATAAAACTACAAGAACCACCACCACACAGTTTATAAAACTACAAGGACCACCATCATACACTTTATAAAACTACAAGAACCACCATCACACAGTTTATAAAAGTACAAGGACCACATCACACAGTTTATAAAACTACAAGGAACCACCATCACACAGTTTATAAAACTACAGGGACCACCATCACACAGTTTATAAAACTACAAGGAACCACCATCACACAGTTTATAAAACTACAAGGACCACCATCACACATTTTATAAAACTACAAGAACCACCATCACACAGTTTATAAAACTACAAGAACCACCATCACACAGTTTATAAAACTACAAGGACCCACCATCACACAGTTTATAAAACTACAAGGAACCACCATCACACAGTTTATAAAACTACAAGGACCACCATCACACAGTTTATAAAACTACAAGGACCACCATCACACAGTTTATAAAACTACAAGGACCACCATCACACAGTTTATAAAACTACAAGAACCACCATCATACAGTTTATAAAACTACAAGGACCACCATCACACAGTTTATAAAACTACAAGGACCACCATCACACAGTTTATAAAACTACAAGGACCACATCACACAGTTTATAAAACTACAAGGACCACCATCACACAGTTTATAAAACTACAAGGACCACCATCACACAGTTTATAAAACTACAAGAACCACCATCACACAGTTTATAAAACTACAAGGACCACCATCACACAGTTTATAAAACTACAAGGACCACCATCACACAGTTTATAAAACTACAAGGACCACCATCACACAGTTTATAAAACTACAAGGACCACCATCACACAGTTTATAAAACTACAAGGACCACCATCACACATTTTATAAAACTACAAGGACCACCATCACACAGTTTATAAAACTACAAGGACCACCATCACACAGTTTATAAAACCACAAGGACCACCATCACACAGTTTATAAAACTACAAGGACCACCATCACACAGTTTATAAAACTACAAGGACCACCATCACACAGTTTATAAAACTACAAGGACCACCATCACACAGTTTATAAAACTACAAGGACCACCATCACACAGTTTATAAAACTACAAGGACCACCATCACACAGTTTATAAAACTACAAGGACCACCATCACACAGTTTATAAAACTACAAGGACCACCATCACACAGTTTATAAAACTACAAGGACCCACCATCACACAGTTTATAAAACTACAAGGACCCACCATCACACAGTTTATAAAACTACAAGGACCCACCATCACACAGTTTATAAAACTACAAGGACCACCATCACACAGTTTATAAAACTACAAGGACCACCATCACAGTTTATAAAACTACAAGGACCCACCATCACACAGTTTATAAAACTACAAGGACCACCATCACACAGTTTATAAAACTACAAGGACCCACCATCACACAGTTTATAAAACTACAAGGACCACCATCACACAGTTTATAAAACTACAAGGACCACCATCACACAGTTTATAAAACTACAAGGACCACCATCACACAGTTTATAAAACTACAAGAACCACCATCACACAGTTTATAAAACTACAAGAACCACCATCACACAGTTTATAAAACTACAAGGACCACCATCACACAGTTTATAAAACTACAAGGACCACCATCACACAGTTTATAAAACTACAAGGACCACCATCACACAGTTTATAAAACTACAAGGACCACCATCACACAGTTTATAAAACTACAAGAACCACCATCACACAGTTTATAAAACTACAAGGACCCACCATCACACAGTTTATAAAACTACAAGGACCCACCATCACACAGTTTATAAAACTACAAGGACCCACCATCACACAGTTTATAAAACTACAAGGACCACCATCACACAGTTTATAAAACTACAAGGACCCACCATCACACAGTTTATAAAACTACAAGGACCCACCATCACACAGTTTATAAAACTACAAGGACCACCATCACACAGTTTATAAAACTACAAGAACCACCATCACACAGTTTATAAAACTACAAGGACCCACCATCACACAGTTTATAAAACTACAAGGACCCACCATCACACAGTTTATAAAACTACAAGGACCCACCATCACACAGTTTATAAAACTACAAGGACCACCATCACACAGTTTATAAAACTACAAGGACCCACCATCACACAGTTTATAAAACTACAAGGACCCACCATCACACAGTTTATAAAACTACAAGGACCACCATCACACAGTTTATAAAACTACAAGGACCACCATCACACAGTTTATAAAACTACAAGGACCCACCATAACACAGTTGGTCCAGAGAAGGAAGGAGAGGAACAGGAGTACATGGAGCTGGTTTAGTTTGTGAAACACTTCAATATTAAAATACGAACTGTTATTCAATTTTTTTATTCAATTCAAGTTTATTTATATAGCGCCAAATCACAACAAGAGTCGTCTCAAGGCACTTCACATAATAAACATTCCAATTCAGGTCAGTTCATTAAGCCAATCAGAAATTAGGTTTCCTATATAAGGAACCCAGCAGGTTGCATCAAGTCACTGACTAGTGTCAGTGACTTTACAGTAATCCTCATACTAAGCAAGCATATAGCGACAGTGGAGAGGAAAACTCCCTTTTAACAGGAAGAAACCTCCAGAGAATCCTGACTCAGTATAAGCAGCCATCCTCCACGACTGACTGGGTGGATTTATGGTATCGAAGTTTGCTTTAATTTCATTTGTAGTTTATAACACATGGTCTCCTCATCAGAGTTATTCCAGAGGGATTAGAAGAGGATTAGGACTACATGGAGCTGGGTTTGTTTTAGCGTCATTTAGAAACAGTTGTTGTCAAAAGTTTTCATGGAGAAGAATTTTGTAAGATGATAAAATACAAACTGTTGTATGTTATTTATCATGGTATTTATCAAATAAGGTTATATATTTTATTAAATGGGCGATTTAAATAATTATTAGACACTCAAAATATCGAAAATTGGTACCATTAAGTACTGGTGTCGATTCGTAGGTACCGGGAATTGGTACCGTATCGATTCAAATGTCAAAGGTACCCATCCATAGGCACAATGGTCAGAAGTTAACTATGCTCTCAAAAACAGTCCATTTCTTTGTTTTGTCATGTATTTTCCCTGGTCCACAATCTGAATGAGGAACATTTAACTTGTATACATAAAACCCCAGATATCTCCCTAGAATAGTTTTACTGAATCATCACAGACCAGATCGTAAGCATTGTTCTGTTTCTGGCATTAGCCAAAAAGCCTGCTGGGTGTTCTGCATGACCAATAATTTAGGATTTCCTTTCCTTCTGATACCAGACAGTGACAGAGAAGCACAAGTTGAACGTACCAGAAACCATGACTGAAGTGCTGGACGTTTCTGATGAGGAGGGTGAGTTTTACACACTTATTACAGGGTATCCGCGGGTCCTTAAAAAGTCTTAAATTTGCTTTAACAAATTTAAGGCCCTAAAAATCCTTAAAAATTACAAATAATCCTTAAATACAGTTTCCAAATGTCTTAAATTACCAAAGACTCAATAAACAAGATTCTTTTATTTCTATAAAAAAATTGTGAATTTCTAGTTAGTGTTCAGCATTTTGGGTGTTTGATGTTCAATTCAATTCAAAAATACTTTATTAATCCCAGAGAGAAATTGATTGGCAAGCTGGCATAAGCGGAACCGTACACATTCAGTTGGTTGTGAAAGGGGGCTATTTTTAGATGAGCACATTAGCTGGTTAAGCTAGTGGGAGCTTGCGCCATGGGGAAGTGCAAGTTTAATGGTAACTGGATGTCTAATCCCATGTTCGCGACGTGGTTAGCACCAGTTCCAGGTAATAGCTGGAAATTATAGCTTAAATTTAATTTTAAAAATAGCTTAAATTTGGTCAAAATGGCCTTAAAAAAGGTCTTAAAAAGTCTTAAATTTAGCTCCCTTAAACCTGCAGATACCCTGTATTAGCATCAGCTGGAAATCCTTCAACCACCAGCTTACAGAATTGCACCGCCGGTTAGCTTAGAGCATCTGGACAGCCTCTCTGTTGAGACTCGCCTCAGCCAAACACAACAAATAAGAACATTTAGCTCTGTGGTTGCTAGCAAACATTTCCAGGTATGAAGTGACTGAAGTGTTCACCCACAGCATGGAAAACCATTGATGATGATGCCACCACAGATGAAGAAGGTATTCAGCATGCAGCTCCTGTGTGAGGGCCTGTTGTGTTGATCTATTAGTGCCTAGCATGCTGAAAGAGACGAGTGACTCAAATTTTAGGCACTAACTAGTCTTAGACGCTGAATGAGAGTGTTAGCACTAACTCTTCGTGGAAATCTCAGTTCATTTAGGAAACTCCAGCATGTTTAGCATCAAAACTAACCTCTATCCTTCTTCGCCTCCAACAGAGATATCAAACGTGAATCCGCTGTGAGAACAGCTTTTTGTCTTTCAGTTCCAGGATATGATGAGATTTTCACTGAACACAGTATTGTAGAATTATTTATCCACTGAAACAGTTTACACTCAACTGGCTCCTGTTGATGTGGAGGAGCAGCAGATCTACTCCGAGCCCCTCCCCGATGATGGAGCTTCTCACCCTCTCTGAAGCCAGGAGTACACTGTACGGCTGTTTCTCTCTTTTGAGCCGATTTTCCCCTCGTGCAAAGATCTACAAGATCGGAGAGAGTTTTGCGCTGAGCGTTGTGTGGGATAACGGGGTTACGAAAGGCGATTAACACCACGTGACCAGCTACCGATCAGCACTCGTGAGCTTGCATGAATTTCTGGCGTATTTGATATTTTGCTCATCCCTCATGAGGGTATGGCACTGTTGAAGCGGCGCTGCGAGCCGCTGCTACCCAAAAAGTACCAGAACTGCTCACTGCGCATGCGCAAACGTGCGTCAGCGCGGCTCGACAGCTATTTCCCACCACAGAGTCCAGACCTTAACCCCATTGAGAATCTTTGGGCTTTGTGCAGCCGTCAGACTCTACCACCATCAGTGCAAGATCTTGGTGCAACATTAATGCAACACTGGATGGAGAAAAACGACACCACAGCAAATGTGTGTCACAATCCGAGCTAAAAGTGGTCTACTGAAACATCAGTGTGAAACCCTCTTTTCTCTGCGACTTTTTGGGCCAAGTAGTGTATGACCAATGAAGACACACCACTTGGGTTTAGATCAGAAGGGCCTTTCCTCCCAAACAAACCTCTCCAGGTCTCACCGTTATTTCCCACATGAGCACTGAAGTCACCCAGGAGAACGAGGGAGTCACCAGATGGAGCGCTCTCCAACATCTCCTCAAGGCAGAGTTTCCCAACCCCGGTCCTCAGATGTCCTGCATGTTTTCCCTGTTGCCCTGTTAAACACCAGGGTTTCCCTGCTGCCACACACCTGACTTACATGAACGAGTGATTAACAGGCATCTGCAGCACTCGATGTCCTCCTGAGGAGCCAGTGTAAATCGGGTGAATCAGGTGACACGGGAAACGTGCAGGTCAGTGTGTCCTGAGGGCCAGGGTTGGGGAACATCGCTCTGAGGACTCCAGAAAGAGTGGGTAATCTGAAACTGCAGGTTTTTAACTAAAATATCACCAATGAAGAGACTTATTGATGAGCGATAGCACTGCCTGCGGGCGGGCTGGTTGGACAGGTGCATATGTGTGTGTGCGTGCGTGTGTGTGTGTGTGCGTGCGTGTGTGTGTGTGTGTGTTTGTGTGTGTATGTGTGTGTGTTTGTGTGCGTGCGTGAGTGTGTTCATGCGCATGTGCGTGTGTGTGTGAGTGTGTGTGTGTGTCTGCGTGTGTGTGCATGCGTGCGGGTGTGTGTGTGCGTACGTGCCTGTGTGTGTGTGTGTGCGTGAGTGCATGCGTGTGTGCGGGTGTGTGTGTCTGTGTGAGTGTGCGCGTGCGGGTGTGTGTGTGTGTGTGTGTGTGTGTGTGTGTGTGTGATGAAGTGACGTGAAGCTTTTCTATGAGCTCTTTGAGGTTGAACGAAAGCTCCTGGGAGATATTGAGCCAGCAGATCTTATAGAACGGACTCGTCTTCTGGAATTGTTCTTATTTGATCTTTTTATGTTAACATGCTTGTTTTAGTTAGATTTTTACTTCTGTTTTAGCTGTTAGGATGTAAAAATATTTCTGCTAATATTGTTTTTTTCCCACATCATTAAATGATAAAAGGACTTTTTAATAGAAAGCCCTCTCTTGTACTTTTATTCATATGATTGGGAGGTTAGGCTGGTTAACATCTCAGGTCCTCCTTTAGCGGGAGTCCACCAAGGCCTTACATCCACATCCTGACATGTTTAACCAGGAACTGTGGAGTTTATTCTATTGAACAGCTGCTTTAAATGAACCCTTTTTAGGGCAATCATTGAAATATTTAAAACTTTTAAATTTCAACCCCAGGGTGTTATTGTAGTCCAAAACCAAAGTGTATTTCTGTTGTTAAATCTTTTTTTCATGCAGAAAATCAGAGAAAACAAAGTGATGAAATATGGACGTTGGCCCTGTTCTGGTAAAAGAAATCCCAAAATAAAACACATGAGCAAGTTAAATAAACAATATTTTGAATAATACAGATGATTATAAGACATTTGAGATCAATATAGCTCATTTTAGAATGTATTAGAATAATTAGAATAATACAGAATAAATCACAACTATTAAATAATCTAGTATATTTTTTTAAACGGATTATTGTGGAAATTTTTTGAAAAGATGTTGAACAATAGATACAATTTCTGATCAAATACAGGTTTTTAGAATATTTTAGAATATTTTACATTTGATGATCTGCCTCAATGTCATCTTCCTCCTGTTCATCATCATCATCACTGATGGCGAGATTGGTGGCAAAATAATTGTTCCCAGAGAAATCTTAGTTTAAAACTCTAAAATATATTCGATATTAATTATAACTGTTATTATTACTGTTACCATGAATATTAAGATTATGTCTAAAAAACAACTAATTTTACCTAAAAATCTTCATGACGTCTTTAACTTGTTCAGGGCGTACGTTCAAATATGCTAGATCTGATTTTCATGCTAAGACTTCACCAACTTCATGAGTTTAACATTTACACACACGTATCCTTCTTTAGCACAACTAGCCAACCTTCATAAACCTAGCATTGTTGGTTTTAGAGACCGAGCAGTTTTCTGGCTCTGCAGACACATCAGTATTTGGTGAGCTATACTCCGCACTGATTGGTGGAATGGCGCCATGGCGCTAACCGTCACTAGCTTGATCTCTGATGATTGTTTGGGTGAAAATCCTGTAATTCTAAGAGTTCGTGAAAAGACACGCCGACGTCATTTATGAGGTCCGCAGTTGAAGAAGGAGAAAATACGTCATTTTTTCTAAAAAAAACAACAACACTTAAACACATCTATCTGCTCCTGATTCTAATGAAGCACAAGTTCTAATAGTCCAACATTGATGTAAAAGCCGTTTCAAACGAGCTGTCGCCATCTTGTTTCACTCTGCATCATCCCACCCACCAGGCACATAGAGAGCCCTGATTGGCCCACAAAGCGGATAAGGCTCTGTGATTTGTTCACTAAGCAGATAGAGCACTATGATTGGCCCACCATTATGGACCAATCACAGCTCTTTATGTGTTTGAAACCCCTCTAGAGAGCTGTGATTGGCCAGCCAGAATGCTGTTAGGAGCTGCAGAGGTTCCAGTGGAGCGTTCCTAGACCAAACTTTGCAAAGCAAGAATTTGGTCCAGTTCACTAGGCTATGTGCTGACATGAGAGCATCACATGTCTAAGTTCTAGTTGTCTGTGGTCCTTTAATCAGGAAGCAGAGTTCTTCTATCCGAGATGTTTATTCCACCTCTTCTCTTCTCACTGAAGGTGAGGACACTATGACTGGAGATGGAGGAGAGTATCTGAGGGCCGAGGACCTGCGAGAGCTAGGAGATGATTCCCTTCCAGGACAATACCTGGATGGGATGAACTACCTCCGCTTCAGTCTAGAGGGGGGGCGCATGGACAGGTAAAAGCACCTGCTGCAGGGCCATCTTCCCGGGGTTCATCAACATCTAGAAGAGTGACTTTCAATGATCCTTAAGCATCATGGACTCAGACATGGAGCCGCGCCGCATTTGTTTACCTATTTTATCGCATTGCTTAGCTTTGGCCTTCAGCCCATGCTGCTGCTTCACGCTGCCGTTAGCTTCTGCTCACTCAGCTTTGTATGTCCCCGCAGGGCTCCTTCATCCTTGTCAATAAACCATTAGACATCGAGGAGTGTATTTCTTCATGAAGGAGCCAGATACAAGTCGAACAGTAGCATGGATAGACAGCAGTGTGATGGTTGAGCAGCATCAGTATGTACAGTCAGGGATAGTCACATGTACGTGACTTCAGGCATGTCCCTGAATACACCTTTTTCCCTCGAGGTTTGATCACAGCACACCCTAGTGGCCGTGGTGACCTCTGCAAACATTACTTTCCCTTAGTTGTGAGTAGAAGTACCGTTAGCATTATGGCGCTAACAGCCGATGTCCGTCCTGTTGAAAGCCTCACCGTTCAGCTAAATGTTGAATTACGAAATGAAGAGTGTGTGAAGCAATGCTCGCTCAGGGATGAACGTACCAGTGGAAGTGTTTTTTAATTTAACCATTAGAAATGAGTCACACCCCGCCCTGGCCCCGAGTCTTTTCCATTCTCAGCTGCGTTAGTTTTTCCAGTGACCTTCCCTCCAGAGTCAGGCGGAACAAACACTAATGAATCTGGTCCGGAGTTTGACAATGATCCTCATCTGTGCTGCAGAGAAGAAACGTTGAAGTGTAATCTAATTACAGCTGTTCACATTCATTTCCCTCCTCTCTGTCGTGTTCATGACCTTCACTGGTTTGACTGTTCTTCTCTTCTCTGTGCACCAGCTCAGACAGGTCCTTCACCCCCACCCACCACGGCTACTCGCCTCGATATGAAGGCGCGATGGACGAGATGCTCACCAGTCACCAGGTACTGTGGACACATTCTGATGTGCTCACCCAGGCAGAAACAAATCATCCAGGTGGATCTAGACAGGTTTCCATAGAAACCAAGAGGTTTTTTTAGTACGTTGTACGTATGTACTCTGGGGTCGATAAACTGGAGACATGTAAACACAAGGTCTGCTGACCTTTGACCTTCTCAGACATCTGCCCACCGGTCCTAGTGACGCACTAAGTAAGTCTTCTAATAGGAGTGTTTTGGTTTGATTCCAGGTTTCATCGCTCACCAGGGAGAGTGACAGGGATTCTTACCGACTGAGTTGGGGCACTGAGAACTTGGATAACGTGGCTTTGCCTTCCAGCCCCATCCATTCTGGGTAGGGACACCGACATTAATACTGTTACACCCCTCCAGGACTAGGAATTACCAGGAGGGCCAACACAAGTGTGGTGGGAGCAAACACGAGGACAGATGAAGAGTTCAAAAGGAGTTTATCAACTAAAGGTGTCCCTGGCAGGAATAAATAAGGAAGATGAAATAAAAATGCCAGAGGTCCGATTAAATGTAATAATAAGTATAAGTCACAATGTCTGGGCAGGGCCCCACACACATACGATACCCCGCCTGTGGGTAAGTTTTCTCCGTCTGGTCCTGTGTTACTCCACACGGGACAGACGTCTCACGCTCTCCCCTTTTCTCTCTCTCTCTGGAAGCCGTGGTTTCTCCTCCAGGAAAGATCTCCGTGTCGGTACAAAAGCAAGTCTCATTATTTCTCTCTCTCTCTCTCTCTCTCTCTGGTTGTGTCAGTCTCGGTCTCAGGCTTTCCCCCTCTCACCTCTCGGTCTCTCTGTTCCTATTCCTGTTCCCGTTTAAGCATTGCTCGGGCGCCACGGAGGCCGAAGTGGACAGCCAGCTCCTCCAGAACACTCTTCCGACACCCCTCTACCGCCTCCCATGAGGGAGCCTCCAATATCTCAGTCAAACTAGTCATGATCACACAAGAGGAGAGAACACCACATTACTTCGATATCACAACCAAGCACTATAAACTTTTACACCGTCAAAACACGATTTCCAAACTCCACACAATCGTAGGATATTATTACTAAAAGTCTCGGGTGAAATTAAGTAGTATTTAATTCAAAATCCCGGACGAGCCCCCATTTGTTACGATCCAGGCTGTCTAGTGGGTCTGGGGTAACAAGGAGGACACATGCTTGGGTATTTAAAAGTTAACAAACACGTTTATTTACACCAAGGAAACATAAACACAACTGGACTAATCGACGGCAACTAAAATAGTAAAATGAAATCAACTCTACTTAGCCAATATACCTAAAAATCAAGGAACCCCCTGCACACACAAGAACATTAATGTTCATTTCAGGGAACCCCTGCACCTAAAAGACACAAATTGGCTAAAAGAGATTAAAACAAAAGCACGCCGAGGAGCCGACAGGACAGAGACCACATGTCCAGCCTGTTGCTCCCTGATGATGAGGGCTGGGTGGCTTTTATGCAGTGAGTCCTCATTCAACTGCTGATCGTCATTGCCACCAGCTGGGACTTCAGGGTGGGGTCGGACAGGTGTGGGGGAAGCCAGGTGCTGCAAAACAGCTCATCTCACACAAGAGGGATAATACAGAGGAGTAAGAAATGAAATAAAAACATACATGGCACCAGCCATAACAAATACATTCCTATCTGATGAACACGATCAGTCAGCAACACTAACCAAGTCATCTGATTTGATAGAAATGTTTGGATTTATTAGAAAAATATGCTGACTCCGCGTTTGAAGACACACTTAAGACTCATTCAAACAGATGTTTGGTTTGAAGAGAGTATCCAGATGTGATCACGGCTGGTGTCATCCTGGGCCTTGGTTAGGAGTGGCCCTGATGACAAACCTGAGAGTAGTGTTGGTTTGTAATGTGAACAAGAGAACCTGAACCAGTTCTTCTCTGTGGCAGCTCCAGTGCTAAGGTCGCCCAGCTTTCATGTCTACATGCGACAGAATCAGAAAGGAGGAGATGTTTCTACAGCATCTCCTCCTTCTCCTGCTCCCAGCTTTTATCTTTTATCTACTTGACTTGTGATTCCTCTCTGTCTGCTGTGGTTGTTGTTTTTAGCCGTTCCTCTCCTTGCCATGATCATGGAGACCACAGCAGGTGACTCTTTGCCCCTCGGTTTAATCATACTCCTCCTCATCTTCATCAGTCACAGTGTGCTCTCCTCCAGGAGAGGTGTGCTTTTGTCACCGTTCTTAACAGACATCGCCTCAGAAAGCTCCACTTTAGTCCTCACGCTGTCACAACAAGGCTGAACGATTCACGGCGTTAATTCCAAATTTGACAAAATGAGATTTTCTATCTCAAAGGCTGTGATTTGACTGCCCGCGAGATCTGGGAAAGTCACGTGCTGTGTGAGCACCTCAAACTAGGCGGGGACTGGATGTAATTTTCACTTTAGAAGTGGGGGCCCTGGGGGTGGGGGGTGGGGTGGGTGGTATCTTTACAGTATGCTCTAATGGGAAACAGGCTTCAATACAAACGGTTGTTTTCCGCTTGGTCCTAGAGCTCAACCAGTGTCAATTTAATATAGCATAATACTGTTTTGGGATGGTTAAAAAGTGCAGGGGTCAAAACTTGACTTTAGAAAAAGTGTGGGGGGGGGGGGGGGGGGGGACATGTCCCCCCTTCCTCCCCCGAAAATTACGTCCATGGCGGGGAGAGAAGACAACGCTGTGATTGAAACAGAATCCAACGCTGCACAAAGTTTGGCACCATACCATACCTTACCATATTTATTTGTAAAAGAACATTTTAAATCAGCATGTCAGCTGACCAAAGTGCTGCACGGGGTAAAACACAGGATTAACATTCACCCTCACACAGAGGGTGCAGGTTTAACAGTCAGAAAAACCAGTAAGATCTAAAATAAAACTCTAACCTGAAATAAGTAAAATGCAGCACAAGTCGGCCAAAAGTTAGATGAAAGAAATTGGTCCTTGGGCTAGATTTGAATTGCACCAGTGGAGGAGACTGGTGCACGGACAGAGAAAGTGCATTCCACAGTTTGGTGCAGCGTAAGTGAATGCACGCCGCCTCCAGCTTCGTAGCTCGTTTCAGGAACACAAAGGAGTAGCTGATCAGCAGACCTCAGTGACCTGGAGAGGATGCATGGTGAGAGCAGCTCTGTCAGGTAGAGAGGAGCAAGACACCGCAGAGCTTTAAAAGCAAACTTTACAGTTTTAAACGGCACCCGGTAGCGCACAGGGAGCCAGAGTAGGTCAGCTGGAACAGGTGCGATATGACGGCGTCTGCTTGACCTTGTAAGAAACCTCGCTGCATCATCTGCCAGCGGCAGAGGGCGGATGCATCAACACCAATGAGAACTGAGTTTGCATGATCAAGTCTAGAGGTGAGGAATGCATGGATGACACATTCCAGGGGAGGTTTTTTAAGAATAGGATTTAGACGGGTTGTGCGATGGAGCTGGAAAAACAGGATCTAACGATAGCATTAACGTGCACAGACATTGTCAGGTCGGCATCTAACTTAACACCAAGACTAGTCACGCAGGTTTTAAACTTTAGGGTAGATAGATCTAAGTCATCCAATGTGTGCACAGTGTGTTTAGGTTTGAAAAGAATGGCCTCGGTCTTATTATCATTAACATTAGAAAGTTGGTCCAGGAGACGTTCATGAAGAAGTTTGGTTGAACTTGACTGATTTAGAGCCAAATAGATCCGACAGTCATCAGCATAAAGATGGCAGTTCAAGCCATGCTTTGCCTAAATGTTTCCCAGTGGCAGAATGTAAATAGGAAAAAGGAGTGGACCCAGAACAGAACCCTGGGGCACCCCCCAAGGGAGTGGCACAAAAGGTGGAGAGCAGTCACCTACATGGACACTAAAGCTAAGAAGGTCACGGCTGCAGACCCACACCTGCAGCCATAGACTATTCATCACGTCTTCCTCGTTCTTCACGGGCCGTGATGCTCTTGGATGAAAACATCTGCTTCATTAGCTCCTGATCAGCTGATGATAGCTTCAACACACCGCGCTGCTTAACGCACGCATTTTCTTATCAGTAACATAAACGACGTTTTGATAAAAGAAGACGGTAATTAATTTGTTTGCTCGTTACTGAAATATATATATATTTAGTAACGCGGTTAATTTAAACGGCGTTATTCCCATCACTGCTCTGTTGGGTCTACAGCATGCAGCGACTGACACACTGAGGGTCTCCGCCCACCCGGCCAATCATCATCGTGTTTGTAAGCGCGTTACCGACACCTCCCTCTCCCAGGCTGCAGCTGAAGTGTGGCGGTCAGAAAGCCTCACGCTGCTGCTCAACGTTCGACAAGCACATAGTAACGCACAACCTTCCGTCCCCAGTAACGGCAACGGCGTTGCAACAGTGGGAAAAGTAGTTAATTAGATTATTCCGTTACCTATAAAAGAACGCCGTTAGTAACGCTGTTATACTTAAACAGCGTTATTCCCAACACTGCTCGCTGTAGGAACCTTATCAACACCTCAAAAAAGCATCTAAGATACCAAATAAGAGTCACACGCTAGAACACTAGCCGCCAGTAAACTCCCTTTCAGCCCACAGAGAACGCTGACTGAGCCGTTTAAGAATAATTTATGTGTAATACGTCTGATGTTGTTCCTAATAATACAATGAGTTATTTTAGTGCTTGCATTAATTGTAAAATATGAGAAAATAATAATGATTTCAATTGCAATTTAGAAAAAAGAAATTGTAATTCCATTATTTTCTCAAATCGTTCAGGTCTAAGTTACACCACAAAGGGCCTGAGGCGGTCCGGTAAAGAAAATGATCCCTAAACTGGTTTGGACTCACTGAGACGATGAAGGTTAAGAACACGTGTTTCTGAGTCAAGTTGTTCCACTAACATGGTGTGTGTGTGTGTGTGTGTGTGTGTGTGTGTGTGTGTGTGTAAAATTAGGTAGTTTTATATCTGCACCCCTTCCACGGCTGTGAAGGTATATTTTCTGTTAAGTACACTAGTGTGTTGGAATATGTGTGTGTGATGCGTGTGCTATGCGTGTGCACCACTTCCATTCTGCATGAGGAAAACGTCTTGGGTCACTTCAGGTTTCCTGAATGTAAACCAGGTCTGAGTGGTGAGAGAACAGACACCAGAGAGAATAATAAAAGTTCAGCCTTTTTAATATTTATGATCACACTTTGTTTTTTATTACCAGTATGCCTATTATCCCTAAAACAGATCTCAGTTCAGTTCGTTTTCTGGACCTATAGGGCATGTTGTGATCTGTGGAGGAAACCCGAGCACCCTGACGAAACCCACTCTTGCATGGGGAGAACATGTAACTCCACACATCAAGAACAGATCATAATTAAACCTGTCTCTAACGGGGTCAGATGCTCTAGTAGTGATCAGGGTTGACCGGGAAAGGCCGATGGTAACTGGAACGCTGCGTAAACGTCACGAGGATGAATCCCAATCTGTGATAGATCATCATTTATTCGGCTTACAGATAAGGCCTCCTGAATGTTGTGTTTTAATAGAAATCAATCACAGTTCAAGCCAAGAGTTTCCTTTACATCGTTCCTTCTCATCTTGGATATTTAGTGAATATTTGCGGATATTTCTCTTTAGGAAACAGCCTAAAATTACTGATAGGAAGCTGGAGAGACACTGGTGGGACACTTATAGGATGCTGGTGGGACACTGGTGGGACACTTATAGGATGCTGGTGGGACACTGGTGGGACACATGTGTGGGATGCTTGTAGGATGCTGGTGAGACACTGGTGGGACGCTCGTGGGACGCTGGTGGGACACTGGTGTGACGCTGGTGGAACACTGGTGGGACGCTGGTGGGACACTGGTGGGACGCTGGTGGAACACTGGTGGGACGCTGGTGGAACACTGGTGGGATGCTGGTGGGACACTGGTGGGACGCTGGTGGAACACTGGTGTGACGCTGGTGGAACACTGGTGGGACGCTGGTGGAACACTGGTGGGATGCTGGTGGAACACTGGTGGGATGCTGGTGGGACACTGGTGGGACGCTGGTGGGACACTGGTGTGACGCTGGTGGAACACTGGTGGGACACTGGTGGGACACTGGTGTGACGCTGGTGGAACACTGGTGGGACGCTGGTGGAACACTGGTGGGATGCTGGTGGGACGCTGGTGGAACACTGGTGGGATGCTTGTGGGACACTGGTGGGATGCTCGTAGGATGCTGGTGGGACACTGGTGGGATGCTCGTAGGATGCTGGTGGGACACTGGTGGGATGCTCGTAGGACGCTGGTGGGACACTGGTGGGAGACTCGTAGGATGCTGGTGGGACACTGGTGGAATGCTCATAGGATGCTGGTGGGACACTGGTGGGAGACTCGTAGGATGCTGGTGGGACACTGGTGGAATGCTCATAGGATGCTGGTGGGACACTGGTGGGATGCTCGTAGGATGCTGGTGGGACACTGGTGGAATGCTCATAGGATGCTGGTGGGACACTGGTGGGAGACTCGTAGGATGCTGGTGGGACACTGGTGGAATGCTCATAGGATGCTGGTGGGACACTGGTGGGAGGCTCGTGGGACACCGGTGGGAGGCTCGTAGGATGCTGGTGGGACACTGGTGGGAGGCTCGTAGGACGCTGGTGGGACACTGGTGGGAGACTCGTAGGATGCTGGTGGGACACTGGTGGAATGCTCATAGGATGCTGGTGGGACACTGGTGGGAGGCTCGTGGGACACCGGTGGGAGGCTCGTAGGATGCTGGTGGGACACTGGTGGGATGCTCGTAGGATGCTGATGGGACACTGGTGGGATTCTCGTAGGATGCTGGTGGGACACTGGTGGGATGCTCGTAGGACGCTGGTGGGACACTGGTGGGAGGCTCGTAGGATGCTGGTGGGACACTGGTGGGATGCTCGTAGGATGCTGGTGGGACACTGGTGGGATTCTCGAAGGATGCTGGTGGGACACTGGTGGGAGGCTCGTAGGATGCTGGTGGGACACTGGTGGGATTCTCGTAGGACGCTGGTGGGACACTGGTGGGAGGCTCGTAGGATGCTGGTGGGACACTGGTGGGATGCTTGTAGGACGCTGGTGGGACACTGGTGTGACACTGGTGGGACACTGGTGGGATTCTCGTAGGACGCTGGTGGGACACTGGTGGGATTCTCGTAGGACGCTGGTGGGACACTGGTGGGATGCTTGTAGGACCCTGGTGGGACACTGGTGTGACATTGGTGGGACACTGGTGAGACATTGGTGGGATGCTGGTGGGAGGCTCGTAGGATGCTGGTGGGACACTGGTGAGACATTGGTGGGACGCTGGTGGCAGAACATTTTGATGCATTTTCTCACATTTTTTTATTCATAGTTAGTTTTTCCATTAGACTTTTGCCAGTTCTCCACGAGCACTACTCGGCCTAAAACAGCTCAGAATCACGGTGCTCAGCCTTGCTAGCTACCTCGACGGAGCAGGGACTGAAAGTAGACGAGACAGTAGAGGGAAAATACCCAACCGTGCCCTTGGGAACAGCGGTCGGCCTACTTGGTTAAGCGGCCCACCGTGACAACGCCAGGATGCCAGACGGACCCGTCGACCCCTGGGTCGGGCCTATCTTTGAGTAGTGCTCCTGGAGAACCACCTGAATAGGTGACATACAGACTTCATGATTTGATGAACAGGAAAGCCTAATTTTACTGCATAAAGGGACAAAAACACACACTAGTATACAACCTTATTTTCTAAACGTTAATGACTTCAGTTCAAAGGTCAACCACTAATTCTCTGGTGTCTGTGCTCTGTCACCCATTTGTCTCTGGAGTCCTCGTATTATTGCATCTGTCAACATGTCCTCTCTTATGTCAGCTTTCTGGTCAGCTTCATGGTGGATGCCAGGGGCGGAGCTATGCGGGGCTGTCGGCACAACGGCCTCCGCATCATCATTCCACCAAAGAAATGCAGCGCACCAACTCGGATCACCTGTCGGCTGGTGAAAAGGCACCGTCTGGCCACCATGCCCCCCATGGTAGAAGGTGAGGGCCTGGCCAGCAGGCTGATTGAAGTCGGACCCTCAGGAGCCCAGTTTCTTGGGTAAGGCAGAATTAACATATATATAACATAAATCTAAACCATAAGAATAAAAATTAATATTTAGAATAAACTATTTATATTCACACATTTACATTTCCACAAGAATCAATCACATGTAAATGTTGAAATATAAATAGAGAAGTTTTAAACAAAATATCAAGCGAAGATAGAAATCCACACATCCATGCAATGGAAGCAGCCTTTCAAAATAAAAGCAGAAAGAAGAGATCCTGTCTAAGCCGTAGCCGGGGTTTTTTAAAAACAAATATCCGCCCCTCCAAAAATTTGCATCCACACCACCGCGTTTTAAAAACAAACTCGTCCACACGTACCCGGATAAATACGTTGTTAAGGACATGCCAGACCTGTAGGCGGCAGTACTTCCCCCGTTCTTAACCTCGTCCTTCGTCTGTGGTCTTCCGCAAGGAGCAGTAATTCCACTTGCAAAAACAAACAAGCAAAAAGCGCTTGGACAATTGATGGATCGGGTAGTGACAGAGCGCAGCTCTGAGGGCATCCATGCTGTCGGCTAGCATAAACACAGGTCGCATACGTGATGTCAGCATTTTTTTGTCGCGGAAAGTGACGTTGCGGACCTTAAAACTCCGGTTTTGTCCGTCCACACGCAGACACCCAAAACGGAGAAAACGCAGATCTTCACTTTGGCCGGAGTTTTTAAAAAGATCCGTTTTCGTGTGAAAAAACTCCGTTTTCGTGTGGATGACAGACCAAAACGTAGAAAAATATCTACGTTTTGGCAGATCCCCGGCTACGTGTGGACAGGGCCTCAGGTTATGTTCACCCTGCAGGATAACAGAGGGACCAAATCTGACTTTTTGGCTTTAAAAGACAATTATCTGAGCCTTAAAGACAAATATCATACTCCTGGTGCCAGGATCTGCCACTCTGCTCCTCAGCATGTCCTGTTTTATTCCATAACAGCTGCAGTCTAACTCTGTGTAACTGTAATCCCTAACCCCTAGCAAACACACCTTCTTAATAACCGCACCTGCACTTTTGCACCATGATTGCTTTTCTTTGTTGATCCAAAATCTGCCCTCTAGTGGTGAAGTTTGAGAATGTCTCATGTTATGGTTGCAAATGTGACTCTAATGAACTATTTGGTGATACAATTAGACATTTCTTACTGATAAAACAGACTCTCTGTGATCCAAACCAAAGAGCATTGTTGTGATTATTATGTGATGTGATCAGCAACTATGATCATTTCCTGCCTTTTTTTAGAAGAAAATGGAGACTTTCACACATTTAAGTCAAGATGGTGTACTCTAATTAAAGGCAACAATAACAATATGTAGAATATATATTTATAATTAAAAATCTGCAGTTTAATTACTTCAGAAATGATTTATTTCTTGATTCTGTGCCCTTTTTAATCTGTTTCTGTGTGAATTCTGTGCATTTTTGATATTGGTGCGTTAGGGCCACTCATGAGGAAAGTCAGTCTTTGAGGAAGACAGTTTTGTTGTTTCTGGCTTTTTGAGATGAAGGTTGAAAGTAAAATAAATTGATTAATTATTAAATAAAACAAACACTTGTTAAATAAAGCAGAAAGGACAAAACTAAACGGGTTGTAAAAACAGACCAGAGCTAGAGTAAAGACCTATCCATGATGCCTGCTGTTAAGGGGCTTGCAGCTGGATGTGAACACAGGCTGGTGATTTAAGCTCCTTTAACCAGATGTTTGGTGGGTATTCATAGGGACCGGGTCCGGGTTCTGGGGAGGGTTCACCACTTGGACTCGAATGACTTCGTTTCAGCTGCTTTCTTAACATTTTCTCTCTAGTCTCAAAGCTAGGAAACCAAAACTCTTCCTCCTCGTTTTCCTTTCTCCTGAGTGACCCCGATACTCCGTAGGACTTTGGGAAGTCGAGGACATGCTAAAGAAGTTTCCACCCAACCAAAGACTTGTGTGTGCTCTCTCTTCCTCACTGCTGCGTGTCTGGATGCTCGCTCTAAAACACAGTAAACTTCACCTCCCCACTGCCCCCCCACCTCTTAATGAGGGAGAGAGTTTGGTTAGCAGAATCCTCCAGCTTGGTCCACCAGGGACAAAGTTCCTTGGGTAGGCTGTATAAAAATAACTTAACATATGAAACAATCCATGGATGCCATTCTCAGTATTTGCCTTCCACTCCATGTTTTGTTTCTGCATGACTTCTGTTCTGTTGCACGTTGTGTCCTAGTGTCCCGTGTCAGAGTTCACCTGACCTTCTAGAGATGTTCTGTCTGTTTTCATGCCTCGTGTCTCTTCAGAGAATGTCGTTTTGTGTGGAATTTAACAGGCTCTGTGGCCTCTGAAGAGTGAAATAATTGATTAATTAAAGTAATGGTCGACCGATATTGGTATATTGCCGATACCGATTTGTAAAGGTTGTGGTAAGCCTAGCGTTGGGTACCGAATTCGGTACTTTTTAAGGTACAGACCGAATTCCATAGTACCGACTGAGCACCGATTCACGTCATTTGAAACGGTGCCTCGTTTCGGTACCCGTCCTTCATAACGAGAACTTGCCTGGACAGCTGTGCATGCGCAAGAGCGTTATGTCGTCGGTCGCTGCGAGCCAGTTGTAAACAGAGCAGCATGGTAGAAAGAACGCACGCTAACGCTTGGGTCCACTTCACTAAATGTGATGGGTAACTGGGTGATGATGAAACCAGCGACAACGATCTAAGTGAGACATCCTCATCTTAATCTGCTCCGGTAGGTAAATAAAATTTTTAAGTTAACGTTAGCTTGATATGTTGGCTTCCGTTCCGCTAATGGTGCGTTCGTTTTCTCCTCGGAACTCCGAATTTCCGACTAGAAGAACATGAACGCGCTCTGAAGTTTGGCTTCACTTTACTAAATGCGACGTGTGATTGGGTGAAGATGAAACCAGCGACAACGATCTAAGTGTGAGGCATCATCGTTTTAATCTGCTCCAGCAGCTAAATAAACTGTTTAAGATAACGTTAGCTTGATATGTTAGCTTCCATTGCCACCATTGTTATCAGCTAATGGTGCGTTCGCTTTCTCCTTGGAAATTCAAACTTCCCAGTAGGAAAAATCAAATGAAAAAGGACGGCAAAAGGAATGAAGATACACAGTAAATTTAGTTCACAGTAAAGATGTTTGCTTCAGTTTAATTATCAGCTTATAAAACTACAAGGACGATGTTAAAATACAAACAGTTGTATGTTATTTATCGTGATATTTATCAAATATGGTTATATATTGAGAAAAATATATATTTAATTATAAAAGAGAATTAAAATATTAAACACTCAAAAGTATCTAAAATTGGTACCGTTAAGTACCGGTATCGATTCCTAGGTACCGGGAATTAGTACCGAATCGATTCAAATGTCAAAGGTACCCATCCCTAGGTAAGCCGATGGCTGATTTGTGCTGCCGATATTTTTTGCCAATTTTCATGGCCAATATCTCGATGTTTTCCACTAATAACATCAGTTGATGCTCGAAATTTCAGAAGCTGAATTAGTTTTTGAAAACTGAACTTAACCAGCTGTTAGATCTGAATTTTGTGCACCGCTGTGTTAAAATCGGACATCTAACTAAATAAATCAGTAAACCTACCAAGTATTAAATGTTCAAAATGCTAAAAATAAACACTTTTTAACTGTGATTTTTTTTTTTACCAGCAGTGGGCTGCCCGGGTATGTGTCTGACTTTAAATCGCCTGAGGAGGAGATATATCGGTCGACCCTTAATTCTATTTTGAAATGTGCGGAAACACATTTTTCTGATTTCTTACAACAACATCAGGAGATTTCCCCAATGAACGAGCTTAAATAGATCAAATGTTTTTACATGACAAATGTAGCTAATGCGTGCAGAAGAACAGTGGCTTCATTATTCACCAGCCTTGTGCTGGGCGTGGGTGGGACACATATTAGAGGATTGGTTACATGTATCGTAATATAATGGTGAGGCCAACGAGCCCTTTAAATACCACATAAAGGTTTAAGCTGTGCTTCAGTAGTGTCTCTGTTGTACGTGGTGTGTGGTTGTTGAGCATGAATATTGTAGATGTCTGTTGTAGCTAACCTGTGCACATCTGGTAAGTATCCAAGTACCCATGGACGTAATTTTCACTTTAGAAGTGGGGGGGGGGGCATTGGAGTGGGGGATGGGGGTGTATCTTTACAGTACGCTCTAATGGGAAACAGGCTTCAACACAAACGGTTGTTTCCTGTTTGGTCCTAGAGCTCAACCAGTGTCAAATTAATATAGTGTAATATTGTTTTGGGATGGTAAAAAGTGCAGGGATCAAAACTTGACTTTGGTAAAAGTGGGGGGGACATGTCCCCCCTGCCACCCCCCTCCCAAAATTACGTCCATGCAAGTACCAAAACCTTAATAACATCTACATGAATGCAGATAGTTACAGGAGCTTACAGCCAGACCGGACCAGGCAGCACACAAACACAGATGAAGGTTTTCTGTGGTTTGCATTCCACAAACGGTTAATATTAACCAAGGTTATGGTTAAGTGTTAAGTCAGTACGAGTCACTGAGGCCTAAGCTTTCAGGGCACATCTCAGTAAACCAAGTCCAAAAAAAATACAACCCAGGTCACTCAAATTATATTTGATTCACTTAAAAGAAGTCATTTTCATCATATTATTATGTATTAATAATATTTCAGATGATTCTGTTTCATGTTTTTGCAAGTAGAAGAGTCCTGGTTGGATGCTAAGTGTGTGAGTTGGGTCCTGGTGGTGTCACTCAGCCACACCACCAACTCAACGCTTTCACCAGGAGCAGGAGGCCGGCTTAAACCTGTCTAAAACCTCTGAGTTAGCATCGCTTTTACTCCAAACCCCTAGCTTCAACACAAAGGCAGTTTAGCGGCTGAATAACGCGAGCTTGTCTCATCTTCCTGAACCTGAAACGGGTCAGAACACTGCATGGAGCCGTCATTAGCCTCAGTTTGCTGGTGAGACTCGGTATCGGCTGATCGCTCTGATTCGGTCTCAATCAAGACGAGTCACCCGAGTCCTGATGAAATCAGTCCATGCAGCTGACTTGAACTTAGTATAATTAAGTAATTATTCTAATTTATAAACATGTAAGTATTTGTTTCAGGAAGTCTAAACACATCTAAACTGTAAGCATGACCTTTTGATGAACAGCCCCAGTAAAAGCACTTAGTGTTGTCCCGTAACACACCCTGACCTCACTGACCTGCGTCACCTGCCCTCCCTCCTCCAGCCCCGTCATCGTGGAGATCCCACACTTTGCCTCCCTCCGAGGGAAGGAGCGGGAGCTGGTGATCCTTAGAAGTGAGACGGGAGAGAGCTGGAAGGAGCATCACTGTGAGCACACTCCAGAGGAGCTCAACCAGATACTCAACGGCATGGACGAGGGTCAGTCCCTTACCCTGTACCCCAGGTTTAGTGCAACGTGAGCTAAATGTGTCGCTACACAGCCTGACACGTCTACTGTTGTGCTGCCATTTCCAGAGTTGGACATGCCCGAAGAGCTGGAGAGGAAACGCATTTGCAGAATAATCACCAAAGACTTTCCGCAGTACTTTGCTGTAGTTTCACGCATCAAGCAGGACAGTAATTTGATTGGTCCAGAGGGAGGCATCCTAAGCAGCACAGTTGTGCCACAAGTACAGGCAGTGTTTCCTGAGGGGGCACTCACCAAAAGGATCAGAGTCGGCCTACAGGTAATCTCCTTAGCTACTCACCGACATGAACTACAAGTTATGGGCCATTCCCATCTGTACCGGGTCGGCCCGGGTAGCGTAGGTTGTTAACATATCTGGGTGGCCTGGTATTTTTCCGGGCCAACCAAGGCTCATTCTCAGCCCTCTTCTCGAGGGGGTCTGCTTCAGGCCGACCAGGGCCAACACACCCACTGCTGACAGCAAATTCACACCTTCCATTAGAGCAAGCCTCTGATTGGTGGGTAGAATCAGCCCACATGGGCTTAAGGCAAGGATGTGTGGAATCAACCGGGCCAGGCTGGGGCTGACTGGGGCTACCCGGCCCGGGCCGACCCGGTACAGATGGGAATGGCCCATTAGAGTCAGTTACAGTACAAACACTGAATAGGTAACTAAACTGGATGCAAGTTTGGGGGTAAAACAATGTTTAAATGTCTTTAGTACAACTCGTCTACAGCTGGAGAATCAAATGACACCTGCCCGCTCTAAGTGAACAACGGAAACAGCACCACCACAGGTTTAACGTGAGATGTAACGTGTGTTTGTGTGTTGTGGGTCTTCCCAGGCTCAGCCAGTGAGTGTGGATGTAGTGAGGAAGATCCTGGGTAACAAGGCCAGCTTCAGCCCCATTGTCACCCTGGAGCCCCGCAGGAGGAAGTTCCATAAACCCATCACAATGACCATCCCGATCCCTAAAAGCAACTCTGACCCAGTCCTTAATGGTTTTGGAGGGGACACACCCACATTACGACTGCTCTGTAGTATAACTGGTTAGAGAACACACACCTAGCAGCACACGCTAGACCTTACATTATAAAACCTAACATCCTGTGTGTGTGTGTGTGTGTGTGTGTGCTGATGTTTAGGTGGAACCACACCTGCCCAGTGGGAGGATATAACTGGGACCACTCCTTTAACCTTCATCAACGACTGTGTCTCCTTCACCACCAACGTGTCTGCTAGGTAAACCCATTCATTAGAAGGGATAGTCGTCTGATTTCAGGTGACTTCAGCGGACATCAAACGCCTCACCGCCTTTCTGCTTCTTGTTCTGTGTTGTAGGTTCTGGCTCATAGACTGTCGACAAGTCCAGGAATCTGTTAACTTCTCCACTCAGGTCTACAGAGAAATCATCTGTGTGCCCTACATGGCTAAATTTGTGATCTTTGCCAAGACCCATGACCCTATTGAGGCTCGGCTACGCTGCTTCTGCATGACAGACGACAAGATCGATAAAACGCTCGAGCAGCAGGAGAACTTCACTGAGGTGGCACGCAGCCGTGATGTGGAGGTGAGACAGGAGGGTGGAGGAGCAATGTCCACACCCTGGAGCTGACACTCTGGCGTGGAGCTGAATAAGACGGGTGTCTGCTTTAGTCTCAACCCTTAACTTTATACTCCTCCCCCAAACTACATCAAATGTTCTACATTATACAGGTGAAACTGGAACAGTCATGAAATGGTGCAAAAGTTCATTTATGTCAGTAACTCAACTTAAAGACAGACAGACAGACAGACAGACAGACAGACAGACAGACAGATAGATAGATAGATAGATAGATAGATAGATAGATAGATAGATAGATAGATAGATAGATAGATAGATAGATAGATAGATAGAAGACAGACAGACAGACAGATAGATAGATGACAGACAGATAGATATAGATATATAGATCAGATAGACAGACAGACAGACAGACATAGGTATAGATACAGGTATAGATATTGATCAGACAGACAGACAGATATAGATCAGACAGACAGACAGATATAGATATAGATCAGACAGACAGACAGATATAGATATAGATATAGATCAGACAGATATAGATCAGGCAGACAGATATAGATATAGATCAGACAGACAGAGACAGACTGGTAGATGACAGACAGATATAGATATAGATCAGACAGACAGACAGACAGGTAGATGACAGACAGATATAGATATAGATCAGACAGATGGACAGACAGACAGGTAGATGACAGACAGATATAGATATAGATATAGATCAGACAGACAGACAAAAAGACAGGTAGATGACAGACAGATATAGATATAGATCAGACAGACAGACAGATAGATAGATAGATGACAGACAGATAGATATAGATATATAGATCAGATAGACAGACAGACAGACAGATAGATGACAGACAGACAGACAGACAGACATAGGTATAGATACAGGTATAGATATAGATCAGACAGACATACATAGATATAGATCAGACAGACAGATATAGATATAGATCAGACAGACAGACATAGATATAGATCAGACAGACAGACAGATATAGATATAGATCAGACAGACAGACAGATATAGATATAGATCAGACAGACATACAGATATAGATATAGATCAGACAGATATAGATCAGACAGACAGATATAGATATAGATCAGACAGACAGAGACAGACAGGTAGATGACAGACAGATATAGATATAGATCAGACAGACAGACAGACAGGTAGATGACAGACATATATAGATATAGATCAGACAGATGGACAGACAGACAGGTAGATGACAGACAGATATAGATATAGATATAGATCAGACAGACAGACAAAAAGACAGGTAGATGACAGACAGATATAGATATAGATCAGACAGACAGACAGGTAGATGACAGACAGATATAGATATAGATCAGACAGGTAGATGACAGACAGATATAGATATAGATACAGATATAGATCAGACAGACAGACAGACAGGTAGATGACAGACAGATATAGATATAGATACAGATATAGATCAGACAGACAGACAGGTAGATGACAGACAGATATAGATATAGATCAGACAGTAGATGACAGACAGATATAGATACAGATATAGATCAGACAGACAGACAGATAAACTTTATTGTCCACCTCGAATTGAGGCAGAAATTAGCCTTTGACATGGCTCACCTTACAATACAATCCATATCGCATTCACACAAATACATAAAAAGACAATTAAAAGGTATTAGAATGTTATTGTAAAAAAAATTAAACTTTAAGGATTCAAAATTGTAATTGCGGTAGGAGCAAATGATTTCTTATAGACACCTTTCTTGGCCAATGGAACCCTGAACCTCCTTCCTGATGGAAGTAACTGAAAATGTGGGTTCATGGATGGGTTGAGTCTGCACTGATCAGGGTAGCCTTCCTGTGCGCTGCTCGCTCGTGAAGAACAGGAAGTGGGATCTGAGGTGAACCTGTAATTTTGCTGCCTAATTTAACAATGCGAGAGTTGTGTTGTGTTTTTAACTGTAAGAAAGTTATGCCAAGTTAGAATGGATTCAATCAGTGATTTGTATACAATTGTTAGGATGTCCTTGTTCACGTTGAGTGCTCTTAGCTTCCTTAGCAGGTGGAGTCTTTGCAGCGCATTGCAGCCGTTGCTGTGATTTGCTAAAGACAGGTGGTCCACAGGCTGACCCTGTATGCTGAGGGGTTCGAACAGGGATGTGTCTGCCTCACTGGCCGCCCCACAGCACATTTCTTTAGGTTTTGAGATATTCAGCCCCAGGTGAAAGTCTTCAAATGTCTGGACCAGATTGCTGACCGCCTGCTGATATTTAGACAGGTCCTCCGATGTCTTCACTGATGCCACCAGTGCCATGTCATCTGCATACGTATACAGGGCCATTCTCTCACTATGGCACCGGATGTTGTTTGTGTAGACTGAGAAAAGCACTGGAGACAAAACACAGCCTTGTGGCAGTCCAATGCTAATGACAAGGTATGACAAGGTGAAACTAATAATATGAGACTGGCTCATTACACGCAAAGCCAGATTTTGAAGTCTTTATTAGGCATAACTGTGATGATTATGGCGCACAGCTGATGAAAACCCCACATTCAGAATCTCAGACCATCAGAATATTGTGAAAAGGGTCAATAATCGAGACTCAAAGTGTTACACTCTGATCAGCTAAAGAATCCTGAACACCTGCAAAGGGTTCCCGAGCCTTTAGATGATCCCTCAGTCTAAGATGGATTACAGACGGATTGTACTCTTTGGTCTTGTCAGGTTCTGGAAGGTAAACCCATCTACGCAGACTGCTTTGGAAATCTGGTTCCACTCACCAAAAGCGGCCAGCACCACGTCTTCAGCTTCTTTGCCTTTAAAGAGAACAGACTAGCTCTCTTCATCAAAGTAAGAGCACAACCAACACTGCCTGTAAAACATGACCCGGCCACTCTTAACCCACCCTCTGCTGGGCGCTGTAGATCCGAGACAACACTCAGGAGCCATGCGGCCGACTCTCATTTATGAAGGAACCCAGAAATTTCAGATCCCTCGTGCAAAACGCCATCTGCAACCTCAATATCACCCTCCCATCCTACTGCAAGGTAAGAAGACTACTCAGACATCACGCCCATAATGGATCAACGCTACTCATGTCTAATGAAAAAACCTGGTTGTTGACCAAGTTATTACATGTTCTGGTTGCTTCTATCTGTTGGTGATGGAACGGTTCTTCTCACGTATTTTTGTACACATACGTTTATATCTTTAGTATAAGTTGCCTGGTGGACTGGATGCTTTAATCTTCCCACACAAATAAGAAGAAAACACACATTCTGACCAGTTTTGCTTTACCCATGAACCTCGGCGGCATGAGTAAGACCCGTGAAACGTACCGAATACGTGCTGTTGTTTTGATCTGTCACTCCTCTGTGCTTCTCGCTGCTTTTTGCTCTCTGAAGGAGTCTGATTCAGACCAGGATGAAGAGGTACGAGTAGAAACCTTTTTCCACTTTTGTTTTCATCCCTTTAGCCCCGCTGATGCATCTGTCTGATCTAAGGAGCTTTGAAAGAAAAGCGTCTGGACTTCTTTGAGTTGCTTGAAGACGTTTCACCTCTCATCCGAGAGGCTTCTTCAGTTCTAAAGCCGGGCGTACACTGTGCGACTTTTTCACTCGCAGCGTTCAGCTTCAGCTCAAACCGTACGACTTCCTCACAGAGCAGATCTCACGAGTCATGTGCTCACACTGTACGACCCAGTTCTCGCATGCGACCTGACTGCTCACACTGTACGTCTGGTAGCAACACGTCGGCCCTAAAAATGTGCTAAAAATAGCAGTTTTTACTCAACACGTCAGACTTTTTTGTCTTACCTGTTGTCCTTCGGGAGTGCTGCAGGAGGACACACAGGGATTTATGGGGGTTGGATGAGGAAAACGAAATAAAGAAAGTGAATCTGTGTTTTGTGATCAGATTAATTTGACACGAACACGACAAACACGCTTTCTTGACAATCTTTGTGAGTAAAAAAACGTGTAGAAACAAAAACGAACAGCGTGTTTTATTAGGGAAATAGCGAGCGACCGGCGTTGATGCAGGATTGCGCGCGCATTCGCCGTGAGCGGTTCTGATACTTTTTTGGATCGTAGCTGCTCGCAGCGCCGCTTCAACAGTGCGATACCCTCACGAGGGACGAGCGAAATATTAAACACACCAGAAGTCCCTGCGACCTCACGACTGCTGATCGGCGGCTGGTCACGTGGTGTTAATCGCCTCTCGTAACCCCCTGTACACTACACGACCGCTCGGCGCAAAACTCGCCCCGATGTCGTGCCTTCTCGCACGACTGGAAAATCGGCTCAAAAAAGTGAAAAAGTCGCACAGTGTACGCCCGGCTTAAGGTCAAATGGTGGAGAGTCCCAGATTTAAACCCAGTGGGAGTTTCCCCCCGAAGAGGGAACAAAAGACCCCCTGATGATCTTCTACATAAACACCCTCACACCTTGACTCGTGTTTATGTAGAAGATCATCAGGGGGTCTTTTGTTCCCTCTTTGGGGGGGGGGGGGGGGGGGGGGGGGACTCCCACTGGGGTTTAAATCTGGGACTCTCCACCATTTGACCTTAGAACTGAAGAAGCCTCTCGGATGAGAGGTGAAACGTCTTCAAGCAACTCAAAGAAGTCCAGACACTTTTCTTTCAAAGCTCCTTAGACTACAATGACCTGGATGACTGAGAGCCTTCACAGACATCTGTCTGATCAGCAGGACTAAATAACATTTTCATAAAATGTACTTTATGTACAGATGTTCATCGTAACAGAAACTGAGAGGCCATTTTTTCCTGTTTCTCTTTGATGTGACCGTCCTGAAATGGTTGTTATGATGCGAAATTCTGCACAAACTAATTTATTCCTGTTTTACGTTTTAGAACGGCGGGACGTCTGACAGATGTAAGTCATTTTTACCATTTGCTCATGTTTTTCTAACTGCTCTGAGATTACGTGTGTAGTTTTTTAGTGGAGAGGGATAACTTTACTAAAACAGCTTTTAACTGGTTCATCTAATCACTTGGATACTTGTTGCTGATCCTCATGTAGATCTTTGTATTTTAGATGGACTTCTTTTCATCATTATTCTTTCTTACTTCACACCTGCATCATGTCATCGATTTAACTCTTTCTCCTTGATAGTTTGAGGTCAGTCGCCCAGGAAAGCAGTGAGCACCCTAGTCTACATATGTAATGACATCAAACCCCACACTGTGCGGCTTCTTGTGGACTTACCCTTTATTTTTATGCAGCTACTCTCAACACAGCTGTTTGGGAATGAGCTGACATGAAATCAACCATTTGAGTTGAGGTCAGGTTGCAGTTCACGCTGTTTTTGATGCTATATTAACATCTGAGGACAGATACAGCACTTTTTTTTTTTACTATAATGTCCGTCAAGATGTAAAGTTATCACAAAGTCTAGAATGCTTTAGATTTTCATCCTTTTATTTATACTTTGATAGGAAATGATCCCGAAAGCAATTTCAGAAATAAGGTGCAAGTCTAGCAGAACCCAGTGCAGATGACTAGAGGTTAAGACTAGCGATGGGTACCAAATTCGGTACTTTTTAAGGTACCGACCGAATTCCATAGTACCGACTGAGCACCGATTCACGTCATTTGAAACGGTGCCTCGTTTCGGTACCCGTCCTTCATGACGAGAACTTGCCTAGACAGCTGCGCATGCGCAAGAGCGTTACGTCGGTCGCTGCGAGCCAGTTGTAAACAGAGCAGCATGGTAGAATGAACGCACGCTAAAGCTTGGGTCCACTTCACTAAATGTGATGGGTAACTGGATGATGAACTAAGTGAGACATCCTCATCTTAATCTGCTCCGGTAGGTAAATAAAATGTTTAAGATGCTTTTATTTTTGATTTATTCAATATATTTACCTTCTACTGTACCGTGTTCAGCGCCTTGGGCTTCCTGACAGGGTTGCGGAAGGCACTTTATAAACAAAGCTTTGATTGATAGATTGATTGAAGATAACGTTAGCTTGATATGTTAGCTTCCGTTTTGCTAATGGTGCGTTCGCTTTCTCCTCGGAACTCCGAATTTCTGACTGGAAGAACATGAACACGCTCTAAAGTTTGGCTTCACTTTACTAAATGCGGCGGGTGATTGGGTGAAGATGAAACCAGCGACAACGATCTAAGTGTGAGGCATCATCGTTTTAATCTGCTCCAGCAGCTAAATAAAATGTTTAAGATAACGTTAGCTTGATATGTTAGCTTCCATTGCCACCATTGTTATCAGCTAATGGTGCGTTCGCTTTCTCCTCGGAAATTCTAACTTCCCAGTAGGAAAAATCAAAGAAAAAGGACGGCAAAAGGAATGAAGATACACAGTAAATTTAGTTCACAGTAAAGATGTTTGCTTCAGTTTAATGATCAGCTTATAAAACTACAAGGACGATGTTAAAATACAAACAGTTGTATGTTATTTATCGTGATATTTATCAAATATGGTTATTAATTGAGAAAAATATATATTTGATCATAAAAGAGAATTAAAATATTAAACACTCAAAAGTATCTAAATTTGGTACCGTTAAGTACCGGTATCGATTCCTAGGTAACGGGAATTAGTACCAAATCGATTCAAATGTCAAAGTTACCCATCCCTAGTTAAGACTGGCTGGTTTGATCGTAAACGGAGATTTAGTCGACTCCCTGAACTTCTCTGAATCATTTCCTCCCTTCCTCTGTGGCCTGTTCCTGCAGAAGTGTTAAAACTCAGTTGGAAACCCACATTTTACACAAAACTTACTAAAATATTGTGTGAAATAGAATATTTTACATGTGATAAGACAAAATAATACTCAATTAGTAAATTTGTTAAACGAAATGTGTGTTTGGATCATTTGAACGATATAATAAATATTGAACTGGGTAGAGTTTGGGTTGAGCTGAAGGTTCTGTTGGTAAATGCAGTTGAGCAGCAGTGTTGGGTTTGTGGGTTTCACCAATGAAAAGCTGGCTAAACCTTCTCTGCTGATGCCAGACAGCTGATTATTGACTCTTGTTTGTTGTTTACTGGCTCTGACTTCTGAAGGAACAACACATACTGGCTTTTAACAATCCATTTATGTAACAAGCTGGTGTCACAGCAAACATAACCACAACCACGGGCGGATTTAGGACTGAAGAAGATCCGGGGCTTAACACACACACGCGCGCACGTGACACGCACTAGTCAACATCATATATATTACAAATCACAAATATTTTCAAATAAGACTCACAAACCTGAGTCAACACCAGTCTCATCAAAGCTGGGGTTCTGTCGCGGTACTTTTGGTCTAAAAACGCCCTTATGTCCATCTTCTCTCATGCGTTTCAGGCAGAGAGTGTAGAAGAAGCTGGCTGCTGAAGGGCTTCTTCTTCAGTGGTGGAGGCTCAGGCAGGCTGTATATAAACTACTGCCAGCTGCTCCCTCTCTGTTGGACTTTGGTACTGCATGTTACTTCCGCGTTTTAGATCCGGGGCTTTTCATAAAACATTCGGGGCTTGAGCCCAAGTAGCCGGGTCTAACGCCGCCCCTGGCCACAACACCCTGGTACCCTCTCCTCATGATGGTTACCAGCTTTGTCACGCACACTATTATGGGATGCTTTCCTATTCTCCAATCCACATAGATCACAAGTCAGCTGATGCGATTGTGTTTGTAACTCGGTGATGAACAGCAGGATGATTCCTCATTGGGATTGTGCTGAGGGATGCAGGAAGAACTTTCTTGTATCCTCTTTGAGAAAACAATGCTGCCACAACGGCGAGCCGGCATCAGGGAGCCTTTGGTCATTTGTAAGTGGTCAGGCCATGGCGGCGATGTGGCACAATCGTGTCCTTGTTACAGAAGATTACGCGAGGGTGGTATAAAAGGGGTATGCGAGGCGGTCTCTGCGAGTGCACATAGCTCGCTTTGTCTTCACTCCCACATTTGGAGAGGAGTCTCTGATAAACCCACTCTGTGGGGTGGGAATGCAGGATCAGGTCCTAAAAGTCCCATTAGTCATCATCACACACTGGTGAAAGTACATCTCTGCATCTGACCCATCCCCGTGGCTGTGCTCGGGAACTACTTGGTGATTTAACCCCCAGTCCAACCCCCTAATGCTGAGTGTCAAGCAGAAAGCAACTGGGTCCCATTTTTAAAGTCTTTGGTATGACCCGACTGGATTTGAACTTACAATCTTCCGGTCTCAGGGTGGACTCTCATACCTCTGAGAAGGTCTTGTTAAAAAGTAAGCTGTCTGACAAGGGCAAAGATGATTTAGAAGGTTTTCCATGGACATGGCCCAACTACTCAACTTTAGCTAAGTCATAGATAATAAACACTAATATCCTTCATTTTTGTAATAAACGTATTATAGACCAGTGTCTCTCAACCATGGTTCCCAGGATTCCCTGTCCTACATGTTGGCCTTTCAAGCACCAGTGTTTCCCTGCTGCCACACACCCGACCTGACTTAAATGAATGAGTGATTAACAGGCATCTGCAGCACTTGACGTCCTCCTGAGGAGGCAATGCGAATATTAAAATTAGGTGTGCTGAAGCAGAGACATGTAAAACATGCAGGACAAAGGGCCCTGAGGACCAGGGTTGAGAAACACAGAGAGAATGACTCACTGCTGACAGGAGCAAGAGATTAGTCTGTTAGAGCGGATTTAGTTAGTGTGATGACCTGCTTGTTCATTCCTTTCAGTCTTTTCCATAACCTTTCCTTCACCAACTCCCTTTGCATGGAAATAACTTGCCTTGCAATAATGTGTGTGTATGTGTGTGTGTGTTTGTGTTTTGTTAGGAACTAATTTTTATGTTGTTTTTTTTCCCTTTGTCGTCAGTTTGAATAATGACCTCACAGCTTAATTTTATACTTTTTTTAGCATTTTCATTTTGCATATTTTCAATGCTCGCGACCCCGCGTGGACAAGCGGGTTCCGATCACGGATGGATATTTTAAATGCCCCGCGTGGACAAGCGGGTTCCGATCACGGATAGATATTTTAAATGCCCCGCGACCGTGCATGGACAAGCGGGTTCCGATCACGGATGGATATTTTATATGCTGTTGTGGAAAAACAAAAAGTAGAACTGTCGAAATTAGCAGCAGTCCAGGAATTTCCTTTCGTTTTTATATTCCGTGGAATTTGTTTATGGTTTAGTTTAGGTTAAAAAGTAGGTACGCACCGTAAAAGTTAACCGATACCAGTTCAGTTGCTTGAAGGTGGCTTCACTGTAACTTGTCATTTCTGTTCACCTAATATTTTAGTTTTGTGATAAATTATATTTATATATTTTATTTTTTATCTACCTCACAGTCTTTTCTTGTTAAAACCAGAGAAGAAAATTAAACCTTTATTCGAATTCATAGCATTTTTTTGTGTGGTAGAAGTATCGATAATCGGTATCGGCGAGTACTCAGATCCAAGTATCGATATCGTATCAGTTTGGAAAAAAGGTGGCATTGTTGCATCCCTAACAAAAACATGATAAACTATCAAATTCCCTAGCGTATCACTGGCTTTCTGTTGTAGATGCATCCTTTTTGTCTGCCATCATTTTGACTTGTTTCATACATCCAACCAATCTTGAGATCTTATTGTTTGTTTTTCTGTTGTTCTTATTTACTTCTATAGATTTTATTCTAAATGTGTGTATCTGTGCGTATTTTATTTTTGCTTTATAGTTTTGTCTTTTGAATGTGGGTGTGAAAGTTTAAGCAAGTTATTTCCAGTTCATAAAGTTTCCCATACAGTTTCTTTAGTCCTTCCTTCGGTTGTGCAGACACTGGACAGTTTAAGCCCGACTCCTCTGACCTACTTATGTAGAACCCGTTGTAATTTTGCTGTCTGATGATCCCTAAACTGTGTTCCAATCTTATCCTGACCACCTTTTCCCATGTCTGTCTCCTTTCATTTGAATTTTGGATTTTCTTTATTCCTTACCTTTTCTTCTTCCAATTGGAAGACGGAGACACGGCGACATCCGTCCTGAAATCTGACCTGATTCGAGAACCAGATCTTCTTTCTGACGTGTCGGAGATGAAACAGGATTTGATTAAAATGACGGCCATCTTGACTACAGACACAGTAGAGAAATCCCATTCCATAAGAGGATGTGGTTTAGAAAAAGGAACTGTGGAAGTTTCTGGAGAACCTTTAGAAATCATGGAGAAAGACCTTGAGAAAGTTAAAGAGGACTTAGAGAAAGTCAGTGAAATCCTGAGGAGTGGAACCTATCAGGGTGAGACGTCAGAGGAGAGAGCAGCTAGTATGGCTGAGGAGTGGGTTCTCCTTACAGACGCTGAGATAGAGGAGGCTAAAAAAATGGCTGCCAAAGAAGTTCAGGAGCCTGTCTTACGTGAAAGTAGGCCCAACAGAGGGGCACCCAGACCAAAAGCCATCAAGGACAGTGGTGACCTTAAAGAATACCTTCTGGACGCTCCAGTAAGCTCCAAAGGAAAAGCTAAAAAAGACACAAGTAGCCATGAAAAATTCACTGATGTGGTCCTTCGCAAAAGCACTAAACCAACCACTCCAACCAAAGTTCATGACAAACCAGTGACTGCAAACATTAAAAAGCCAATGAGGAAGAAGGGGAGGGACCAGGAACAGGCAGATGGTTCAGCAGGGGCTCTTCTCTGTGTGCCCACGACTCCTGCTCCAGGATCACCTAAGTCTCCAGTGATTGAAGAAACTCCGATTGGCTCAATAAAGGACAAGGTCAAAGCCTTACAACAAAAACTAGAGGCAGAACAAAAGAGCAAAAAGCTTACAGGAAGCAAATCCTCACAACTGCCTGTTAAGAGTAAACCTTCCCCAAAATCCAAGGAAAGCCCCAAATCAAAGCCTGCACCCCCCAAGTCCCCCAAAGCTGAATCTGAAAAACTTGAGGAGACCATGTCAGTTAAAGAACTGATGCAAGCCTTCCAAACAGGGCAGGATCCTTCAAAAAGAAAGTCTGGCCTATTTGAGCTCAAAAAGACTACATCAGTGTCAGAGAAAGCCACCAAATCTGAAAACGTTGAGTCAACGGCCATGACCCAAACTATAACCTCAAAGGTTTTAAAAGTTCAACAAGTTTCATTGGATTCCAAACCTGTACAAAAAGAGACCACTCTGCAAGACAAAGAAAAAGAAACCCAGTCAGCTCCTCACTCTGACCCAACTCAAACAATAGACTTTGGAAATGGTGGTCTCGATGATAGCTCTGATAGCGGTAAACATGAGGGTGTGGCAGACTCACTGAGTGCCAGTTCTGGAAACGGAACCCCTCACTTGAGCTCGGAGGACAGTTACAAACATGAAGGACTGGCCACTCCAAGCACAAGTCCTGAGAGTCTGTCTGGACAGCAGACTGATACAGCTTCGGCATCAGCTGCCACATACTTAAAAGAGGCAGAGAAGTCTGGAGACTCAGGTTTAGGGACCTCTGGTGATCAGCTGTCCACAGAACTGACCCTTCCTGTCTCTTCCAGCAAGGCTGCAGATGACCACACAACAAGTGAGTCTATATCTGTTAGGATGAGTGAGTCTAAGCCATCAAAACCTCAGAAGCTCACAAAGAGAGTTTCAGAAACGGTAGAAACATTTCTTAGTGATGATGACGATAGCCCTGATCATCAGTTAGCTCTGTCGTTTGCTGGACCAGTTTCTACGTCTCCCTCTCAAGATCACAAAGGTTTTGACCTGCCTTTAAAAACACAAGAATCAGATGCACTCAGTCCAGTAGCGGATGATTCTTTGACAATAAGCCACAGAGACTCTCTAGAGGCTAGTCCTAATTTGGAAGAAGATTCTTCCCATAAGTCCCCAGACTCCATTGAACCCAGCCCAACCAGGGAATCACCTCCTCATGATTCACTGGAGAGCAGCCCCGTCGAGCAGAAATGCCACCTATCCTTCCAATCAATGCTAGATCCCAGTAGCACCTCTAGCCACCCAGAATCCTCACAAGCTGCAGACTTCCCCCAAGATGTTTTGCGTGGTAGACACCTTCGAGACCATGAGGCTAGTGCCGATGATGACAGTTGTGAGCAGACATCCCAGATGACAAGTTCCGGTAAGAGCCCTCTCTCCCCTGAAACTCCTAGTTCTGAAGAGGTAAGTTATGAGGTGAACCCTCGACCCCCTGACTATACATTGCTCTGTGTTTCATCCAAATCGGCTGTTATCCCTGAACACCCAGAAGAAGAGGATACAACAGACAACAACAGAGCTATAAGAAAGATCACTCCAGAGGAGGAAATGTTTAAGATGGCTGCCAAAATAAAAACATTTGATGAGATGGAACAAGACATGAAGACCAAAAAGAAGTCTCGAGACGATTTGTCTCCTTCAGCAGATGAGAAAATGGGGGATAACAGCCGTGAAAAAATAACGCCCAGCAGGGAGAGCCTTTCACAAAGTCAAAGTCGGCTCTTTAGACCTACAGAAGATTCAAAGTTAGCTCTTATAATTGATCCCGGTAATAAAGTACAACCTCCCTCTCCTTTTTCAGCAGGTTTGCATGATGGCACCCACAGCAAAGAAGGCGAGAGCACAACAGCCACTGTTACTTCAGAGGGACCTCACTCTGTCTCAGACAAGCATCGTTCAAAACCCAATCTGAAATTTGCACCTGAAGAAGTTGTCTCCTCATCTACCGAAACGAATACAATCACTTGTGGAAAAAGAACATCAGCAGCTACCGGTGAAAACAGAACTGATGAGCAAAAACAGGAAAGTTTAATTAAGTCGAGAGAAAATAAAGGCGATAATGAAGATTATCAGAAGTTAGGTGTTAGCATGGTTAAGCCTGGGATACAGAAAACAAGTAGCAATGTTACAGATGAGGTCAAAGGAAACAACTGGGGGCAGGCAGGTGCGTCAGAGGCTGACCTCTGTACAGCTGTTGCCACAGATCAAACCAAATTAGAGGTTAGTCTTTACAATGCAGAAGACGAAGATGAGGCGCTGGATCTTCCCAGGACAGAATCAAAAGGGGTCACTGCAAAGGTTGACACTGAATCATGGTCCTCCATGAGAGAGGACGATGCAACTTTTGCAGCCCGTCTAAAAGACAAGGAACAGAAGGTTCTGAATCTGGTGGTGGATCGTCAGTCTCTGCAAGCAACTCCAGACACCACTCCCGGTAGAACGCCAACAGAAGAGAGCACTCCAACCAGTGAGCCCAATCCTTTTCTTTTCCAAGAAGGGAAGCTTTTTGAGATGACTCGAAGTGGTGCCATTGACATGACTAAAAGAAGCTATGAGGAGGAGGAGGCTGGCTTTGCTTTTTTTCAGATAGGTGAACAGCTTGTAGAGGAACCTGCCTTAGAAGAGGTCAGACAAGAAGGTAGATCAGCAGCAGAATCAGCAATAGGACTAAATTTAACAATAGAGCTTCAAACTGAGGAAAATGAGAAAAAAGATCAAACTGATCCCGAACCTCAGGTCCCTGAAGGACCTGACGGAGATCCAGTAGGCTCTAAAACAGATGTTGCCAAGTCTAAAATTCCTAAAATGGGTATTTTAGCTTCAGCCAAACCTCCTAAGAAAGATCAGACGACCCTTGCACCTCTTGAGGCTAAAACAGACAAACATGTAAATGAAGGCTCTGTTGATTTGGACAAAAGTTTCTCTGAACAAACATTGACAAATGTCCAAACTGCAGAAACAACAGTCACTAGATCCGTTTACTCTGAGCAAGGCCAAGAGTCTTCTGATTCCTCACCAGAAGAGTCTAAATCAGTAGTAGAGGCCCCCAAAACAACAGACAAGTCTAAACAAACTGCTTCTCATAGTGTTAAGAAGACTCAGAGCACAGTCAAAACACAAGCTAAGTCTGCTTCTCAGGGTCGAGGAAAGTCTATGATCCCTTCGCCATCCCATGCAACGCCCTCCACATCCACTCCTAAAAAAGAGGCCACCTTCACTTCAGAATCCAAATCCAGGATTCCCATCAAGGCTGGTACCATCAAGTCTGAGTCTTCTGTCAAACGAACAGAATCAATTCCAGAAAAAAAGAATATGGTTCCTGTTAAAAAAGGTACAAGGAGAAAATCTGAGACAGATGCAGGTCCATCCTTAGATGTCCGAACCAAGACATCATCTTCCAAAGCCAAGAGCTTCTGTGAAGGGGAATCTATTAAGTCATCTCCCAAAAAAGTTCTGGGTCGTCCCTTAAATGTCGAGTCTGCAAGATCCAAAGGTTTTCAGTCCAGGTTGCCTGTCCGGGGCAAAAGTGGTCAGTCATCTCCTTCAGCTACACCCAGTAAAGACAAAAGCAAACCACAGAAAGAGTCCATTGAGTTTTTTGAAGAGATAAGTGATGAAGCTGCCAAACTGGTGGCAAGGTTGACCCAAACGAAGGCAGAGAAGGAGGAAGAAGCTGTTGCTGCCTTCTCGGATGATGATAGCAGTCTCATTGATCCATCAATCATAGAAAGAGAAACTTTCCCAGAGCTGCGCTTTCCACCCTCAGGAGACATCTTTCCCATTAGACCACTGTGGGACGACCCTGTTGAGACACAGATGCAGCGAATTCCAGATGATAAAGTCCAATGTCAAGGTACCCCCCCGGTTTAAGGGGATATTCTCTATCTCTTGTACCTCATTAGTGCATTAGCTGTAAAGGTGCTGCCTCTCTGTCTCTTGTAGTTATGTCCCGTTGTAGCTGAAGAACCCTTGTTGCTGTGTTACTGGAGCTGTGTTTCTGTCCGTATTCACATCTCTTTTCCTTTTATGTGTTGTGAAAATCTCAAGATTGACCTGAAGGCTTTATGGAACTTGTAAAATGATTGGTCTGAGTTAAATCTGTTAAAGCCTTCAATGGAAATCAGCTTTCCATGTCAGTTTTCTAATCCTGGCCAAACTTTGTGTATCAATGCCGTTACCTTGGACAAAAATGCATTAGTCAATCAAATTTCTAATTCGACTAAAACAAGAAAGCCAGTGGGGAACACTTTAAAGATAGCATTTATAATTGTGGCTTAATTGGAATACTTTGCGGCTTTGACCGCTCATGGCTGTCTGGTGGTGTTTGCAGTAGATCCGCAGGATGAAGCAGAGAGAAAAGAGCAACGATTGGCCATTATAGCGGACCACCTGGGCTTCAGCTGGACAGGTGAGTCATAGTCAACAGTGAGAAACAACTCAGGCAAGCAAGCTTTAACCCTCCCACTGTCTTCATGGGTGACCCCACCAGGAAAGTTGGCCATTGAGCAGGATTGATGGTTTATCCCTTGAGGTCTATGTGGCAGGGGTGAGGAGTGAGCATCACCTCACCCCTGCCACATGGACCTCAAGGGTTAAACCATCAATCCTGCTCAATGGCCAACTTTCCTGGTGGGGTCACCCATGAAGACAGTGGGAGGGTTAAATAGACATTCTTACTTTATTTTGACTGACTACTAAAAAGGAAAAGCATTTTCTCCTTATGCACTTATGTCTAATCTGTGGCTCTACTTGTTTCATGCCCTCAGAGTTGGCAAGAGAGTTGGACTTCAGTGAGGAGAAGATCAACACAATAAGGGCTGAAAACCCCGACTCACTCCAAGACCAAAGCCATGCTCTCCTGAAACTCTGGAGTGAAAGGGAGGAGCATTATGCCACAGGTTAATAACCCTAGTATTTATTATACCAAGGCTCCATCCACACTACTCTGGCTACTTTAGAGAACTGGGATTTTTTTATGCGTTTGTTCTTCATGTCCACAAGAAAACTGTATGACAAACCCAATTTTAGAAACACTTTGCAAAGTAGAGAATCTTTTCTTTTGTTTTAATTCTGTATTTGTCACCCCTCTGGGTCCATGAGATGTGGAGCTTGTCACCTTGTGGTGAGGTGGTGGATGATGTGGGTGGAGCCTCAGTGTATAGTTTAAGGCTGATCTTCAAACAGATCATTTTGTATTTGTTTCCTGTTCCTGCAGAAGCAACACTTACCACGAGACTCACAAAAATTAATCGAATGGACATTGTTCACCTTATTGAAACCAAACTGAACAAATCCACTGATGAGACAACATCACATACCTACGCAGAAATCGAACAGACCATGGCTCTGGACCATAGTGAAGGTGAAAACCAACACGCTGGTTTGGTGTCATTTTGGAAAGTTGTGAATTATTCAAACGTACCAAACTTGATTTGATGTCCCAACAGGTTTTTCTGCCCTCCATGAAGACATTGACAGTCCTGGACCAAGCAGACGTAAAGAAGTTAAAGGGAGAATTCCAGTTTCAGGGCAAGCCGTACCCATGGTGTCCGCTGAAGAGCTGTCCTCAAGTTTGTCTTCAATTCACGAGACGTCGGGACGAATCGAAACAGGCTCAAATGCAACAGGTCCTCTCACAAGTGTCCAGAAAGAAAAACAGATGGAGACGGAAGGAAGGACGGAAACAACATAGTGAGTTGTCCTAAAAGTTTGCTTCTGTTTTTGCTTCAATTGTACACAAATTATGTTTTACGGTTAACAAAAACTCCGATATTATCCATCTACCAATATTATCGGCTAGTATTATTGGCCATAAAATGTAATATTGGAAAATATCTGTATCGGTTTTTTATCTTCTTTCGGGACCCAACTTGTACATATAGGACCTGCTGGCCTTGGAGCATGTAGCTGTGTGTTTCTAGCCAGCTAGCAAACGTCTAAAACAAGCAGAAGAATCTTCAGCCAAGGCTTGCTTTTCTTAAATGAAGATCTTTATCAGTGTTTTATTGCCGTTACTACAATTTACAGAAAAGAAAAAATACAACACAGACATTTACACACATCTTAGCGTTGCACTTAGCAAATAGCCTAGCTTAGCATGTGTGCGCTCACGCTGTTTTCATTTTATCAACTAGTCACTTTAACACACACTCAAACTTTCCCTAAACAAAGCCATACTTACAAATACAAATGTTCTCCAATGCACACGTGTGTGAAGTAAAATCAGCGCGTTCATGATGTGTTCATTCTGCCATTTTCTGCCTAAATGTAAGATGCAAACACGCTGGGAGCAGATACTACGTCGGTGAAGGCTCTGAGTTAGGAGCGCTTACTCTGTTGTGTTTCACACAGACAGTATAACAAATATAGTTTGTGAAAGCGACGTCTCACTTTCATACGTTTTCTAAACCTTAACCTTTTTATCATGAGTTTACTTGTGTTATTTATTAGTTTATTCATGAAACTCCCCCCAACAGTAACTTAACCCTTAAGCGCCAAAGTCGCAGAATTGCGACAAGCAGCAGTGTTGGATTTAATAAGGCACAGCAGCAGAAATGAGCCCTCATGCAGTTAATACGTTACACAGCGGGGTGGCAGACACCTGTAACTTCAATCCAAGCAGCAATTGTGGGTGTGTTACTATTCAAATTTTTGGAGTATTTAGAACCTGAACCCCGCCCACCAGTCGCAGAGCTGCGGGGGTTGTCAGAGCGAGTGAGAGCAAGTGGTAAAGGAAAAAACACACAAAGCCGAGAGGAATGTTCAGTGCTGACGAAGCTCTTGTGTAGTACGGGCAGATTCGGATTCGGAGGAAGAATATTTCCTGTCTGAGGATGATCTGCAGTCTTCTAGCGAGACGGAAAGCGAGGCTTCAGCGCGCAGCAACAGGGAGTCTGTCAGCGACGACACGGTTACACAAGCAGCCCATCCAGTCCTTATCTTGTTCGATGTTCTGCGTCACTGTGTCCGTACCGGGTCTGATCCTTCACTCCACCGTGCCGGGGGGAAGAGGGATGTGGTGGCGGTGATGGGCTGGTGAAAACTCCGCTGGTGATCGATTCAGCCCCGGGGGTGTAAACCACGGGAAATGCAGCAGGAAGGGGAGGAACCGCGGGAAAAAAAATCACTGCTAGCAGGGGGGTGGCCCAACACAGCCTCAGTGACAATAATAATGATGATGGCTGGGTTAGTTTGGGAGAAGAGGAACAGTATTCCAAGTGGATCAGGCATTTTGATGAGCCAGTTGGATGCTGTGGAGACGGGGATCTGTCAAATACAGAGCACATAGATTTTCTGTCAGTTTTTTTGGATGAGGAATTCTGGACCCTCATCACAACTGAAACTAACCGATATGCTCACCAGTATTTAGAGAGGGAGGAACTGAAATCTAGCTCCAGATATAATGGCTGGTACGATGTAACTGTCCCAGAAATGAAAGCGTTCATTGCCATTTAGTTCTGCATGGGGCTTGTGGAAAAGCCTGAGATTGAGGATTAACTATATATGTAAAAAAAAAAAAAATAATAATAATAATAATATATATATATATATATATATATATATATATATATATATATATATATATATAACAATTATAAACAAACCAAACGAAAGAAGGGATGAGTGACATGTGTTCATGACACTGAAGCACCAAAAACAGTGTTCTTGATTGTTACGCAGTAAACATAACAAAATACCAATAAAGTAATAAATATTATATATATATATATATATATATATATATATATTTATATAAATACATTGTTATATATGTCTACATAGGAATATGTATATATGTATCATAAACAATAACAGCAAGAAAATAAGTCAAAAACATAAAAAAACTACTTAAATCTGCAAATGTGATGCAATCCAACATGGCTGCCACCTGATGACATCAAAATATGCAAATTATGTGAGTGAATTTGTTCCTATAACAAAATTTTGCTCATACTGAAGATTTCTCTAATTTACAATATTCCTCTGTCTCTAACCAGATTTAAGTTACAAGCTCTTTAAATAGTGATGTAAAATTCATATTTTACTGAAAAAACTCTGGCGCCTAAAGGGTTATTAATTGTATGTGGCCTAAAGGCGTCACAGAGAGTTTGTCAGGATCATTTTGTCATTCAGCTGCTGTTGGAGACAAATGTAAACATGACATTTTTTCCATTGAAGAAGAAGAAGAAGAAAGTATCATTTCTATAGCGCCTCTCAAGATAAAATCACGAGGCGCTTCACAAAAACAAAAATGTAAAAATATAAAAAAAGCATTTAGAAAATGTTTAAAAATACATTTAAAATGAGCAAAAATAGACAATTGTGATTAAAAAAAAGTTTAGGAAGCGAGAGAGTGAATAGGAAAGAGGGAAATCAGTGGATCCTGAGGAAGGTGGAATAGGTGGGGAGAGCAGAATAAAGAGAGAGAGGTGAAGAAGGTCATACAAAAGCCAGCTTGAACAAGTGAGTCTTCAGCTGCTTTTTAACGGAGACCACTGAGTCCACTGATCCAGAGTCTGGTGGCCACAGCAGCAAATGATCTGTCACCTTTGACCTTTAGCCTGGTGCTGCACAACCAGTAGGCTTTGATCACTGGACCTCAGGGACCTGCTGGGGGTGTAGGGACTGAGAAGATCACCAATGTAAGATGGTGCTTGTCCATGTAAGGCCCTATAGGCCAGAACCAGGATCTTGAAATGAACCCTGAAGTTGACTGGCAGCCAGTGAAGCTGGAGGAGAAGCGGGGTGATGTGGGTGTGTTTGGAGGACTTGGTCAGAAGCCGAGCACAGGCGTTCTGAACCACCTGTAGACGGTTCAGGGAGGTTCTGCTCAGACACGTGAAAAGAGAGTTACAGTAGTCTAAGCGTGAGGAGATGAAGGTGTGGAGAACTGTCTCAAGTTCAGAGCGGGACAGAATGGGACTCAGCTTAGCAACGTTCCTGAGATGGAAGAAGGAAGAGCGAACAAGAGAACTGACATGAGAGCTGGGTCAAAGGTCACGCCAAGATTCCTGACAGAAGGTTTGGCGTGAGAAGCAAGCTGACCAAGAGAGTCTCTGACTTTGGGAACCAGCTTGTCTGGGGCACAGATGAGGATCTCAGTCTTATCTTCATTCAGCTGAAGAAAGCTCCCAGCCATCCAGGTTTTGATAGAGTCTAAGCAGGTGTGTAACAGCTGCCGCTTAGACATCTCATGGGACTTAAAAGAGATGTACAGTTGGATGTCATCTGCATAAAGATGGTAGGAGATTCCTTTGAAGGAGCTCAGGATGTGCTGAAGAGGAAGCAGATAGGAGGAGGAAGAGCAGAGGCCCCAGCACAGAACCTTGTGGGACACCATGGGTAAGGGAGGTGGTGGAGGACCTAAACTTGGAGACGGCCACAGAAAAGGAGCACTCAGAGAGATAAGAGGAGAACCACTCTAGAGCAGATCCTGATAGGCCTACCCAGTCTCTCAGCCTCTCCAGTAGCAGGTGATGGTCAACAGTGTCAAAGGCTGCAGTCAGGTCCAGCAGGACCAGAACAGAACAGTCCCCTGCATCACTGTGAGTCAGAAGGCCATTAGAGACCCTAAGAAGAGCTGTTTCAGTAGAATGAGCTCTACGAAAACCTGACTGGAAGCTATCATAGATGTTATGTTCATCAAGAGCAGCTGTGAGTTGTTTAGCCACAACCTTTTCCAAGATCTTGGAGCTATTGCTAACTTAAATTGAAGTACTTAGGGTTAGAAAATGTTTATAGCTTATGTGTTCATGATAGAAGATTTGTGATGTTAGTAACCTAAATGATTTATTTTGTTCCTCTCTTTTAATATGGGGACCTCGCATATACCTGTATCGGTTTATATCGGACACTATCAGCTATCGAACAACCCTAAAAAACCCAATATCTATCATGCCTAACGAAAACATTTTTTCAAAAGTTTTTCTAATGTTTCGACATTGAAAAGTGTGAAAATCATGTTATTTTTGGTTTAACCTGTAACTTTAATTGCTAAATGCTTCGCTTATGTTAGCATTTCTCACATTAATGCAATTGTTTTCATCATTGTCACAATCAAAATGCTCCTTGTTTTGCAGCTCATCTCAGAGAATACACAAGGAAGTGACAGACTCAGAACAGTTGGGAAGTTATAAGCAAGTAAGTGCTTTCTTCACATTGTACCGCGCTTCTCCCTACAACCTCCGCTCCCATGTGATAGATCCTGTGTACAAAGGAAGGCCCAAGTTATGTGCCCATGTTGCTCCTTTTGAACCACGTTGTGATGACGGGGCTGCTGGGGTTGAGGGAGCAGAAGGGGGAGAGGACTGGAGTTTGGAGTGTCTGCGACCCACCCACGTCCCAAATGACTTAGCTACATTGCCTTGGCGAGAGACAACCATTATCTCTCGAACGGGTGTGTGTGAAGATCGACCACTGTCCATGACGGATTTTGGTGACAGCTTGGCTGAGTGTGAAGAGGTTGAACAAGACTTCAGGAAACTGTCTATGGAGCTTGTAGAAACTGGAAAAGTGTCATTTGTTCAGCCAAGTGAAGAATTTCACCATCACACATCAGGAGCCCAAGTGCAAGGAGAATGGGTGCATTCCAAACAGGCAGACCCTAGCCATGTGGAGACGGTGTCACATAGGCTTTATGAAGTCCTCTATGGATGCCATGCTGAGATGGTGGAAGCCAATAGTGAAGATGTGTCCTCTAGTGACATCATTCAAGCTGTCAAGAAGGATGAGGCGCAGGAAGATGCCAGACACACAAAGGCTGAAGAAATGTCTAGCTCAGGGGATGACACTGATGTTTACCGAGGTTTACTTTCGGCTGATGTTGATGTCAGATCTATGTATGACACCGATCAGAATGTGTCCAGTCAGGGATTAGTTGATGTCCACTCTAACCAGTCAGATTTGGTGTTTCAGAAGCAGAAAGTTGTTGATGTAGACGAGTCAGCTGATTCAGTAGAAAGTGTCTCAGTCCTACCAGGCGTGGAGTACAACTTTGTGATTACACTACCTCTCATACAAACAAGATGTGATGCACCTGAATATGAATCAGTATCTGATCACATTTCTGTCATTCAGAGTTTGACTCCAGCTGAACGTTGTCCCGATCCTGTAATATGTCTGACAGAGACCCCATCCCCAGAGTCTGTTACACCAGCGAATGAGCTGAGCTTCCCTCCACCTGATTCTCTAGTACCACAGTTTAGGCCCTTGTCTCCACTCCCACCGGTCATCCCATGTGAACCAACAGATGCCAGGATGGGGGGTTCTCCTTTTCAGTTTACACTAGAAGCAGAGGAGAGGCCTTTAACTCCAATGGTTTCAAATAGGAAACCGTTTGGAAGACCAGTATCACCGTGCAGTGGCTACAGCGATGAAAGGGCCCTTTCACCTCAGTCGTTAAGTTTCGACGTAGAAGATAGAGCGTCATCACCTGAATCTGTTAAACTGGAAACATTGTGTTGGCTTTTTACACCAGGTCTACATGATGGTCCTGATCTCTATGGCATCAGGTCTTCATCTCCTGAATCCACCAGGTCTATGAGTGCATGTTGCTGTCTTTCACCAGACTCCCCTGTACAGGATTTCAGACTTTCTCCTTCGGAGCCTTTAACATTTCACTATAGATCATCGACACCTGAGTCAGAGTCGTCCCTCCTGGAAGGTGAAGTAGGGCTTTCCTCAGTGCTCTCTGAGAACAGGCCCACATCACCAGAATCTGCTGTGAGCGAATGTGGACCACTGTCACCCGATTCTCCTCTGCCCGAGTTCTGCTTCAGCTGTACTGACCCGGTAACCCTCCCATTAGGAGGGAGCATCAGCTCACCCGAGTCTTTCTGCTCGGATGTAGAGCACAGCTGTCCGTCCCCGGCATTGTTTAATCATGAAGACAGACCTTTATCACCTTCATCTGGAGGTGATCCTGAAACCTTCTTACCTGTCGGTCAATGTTCCCCCCCAGAGTCAGATAACGCTGCAAAGGTAGCGTTGGGTCCTAAACCCGACGTTCACAGACACACACCACAGACACCAGTTGAGGTCATGTCCGAGAATGGTGAAGACTGGGTCGTTATTACTTCATCTGATGTTAAGAAACGTTCCCTCTCTCCAGATTCAGTGTCTACATACAGGCCAGTGTCACCGGAGTCAGCAGTGAGGTCAAACACCCCCGAGTCAGACTCAGTTAAAGTCTTACCTGATGGGTGTCAGCCTGGCACCGTCACACAGTCAGCTGGAGATGAGGTCATGTTGACTAACAGAATTAAAACTGAGCTAAACCATCATGTGCCAGAAGCAGAAAGATCAGATGGAAACACCTCTAGTCCTGTAAAGGAGGGGCACATCTGTAGAAAAAAGTCTAAGAAATGTAGAAAACACAAAAGACATGTTTTTTGTAAAACGAGCGGTGAGACACAACCATCTGGTGACAGCATGATGTCCTCATCACCGCAGCTTGAAGAGGTAAACTTACCCTTATCCACGCGTGAATCCGAAGTAGGTGAAGAGTCTGAACCTTCACGCCTACCTGAACATGCCCAACCAGCTGGACCGCGGAAGCTCATCTCCCAAATCCGTGACCCGCAGTATTCAAGAGAAGTGTTTGTCAGAGACAAAGGAACGCTTCGGCTCTGTGGCACAAGGTCAGTGTCATGTGAGGACATATCCGGAAGGCCTGGTGAAGATAAAGAGGCTCGTTTACCTTTAGATGTTTTCTCAGGATCCCTGTCATTTGAGTCTGAAGCAGAATATAAACCGTTGTCACCAGAAACACCGATGCAGCTGAACACAATTAGGCCACAGGCAGGAGACGACCTCCAAGCATCTGACTCCCCCTCTCTCCCCGCTCCTTCACAACATTATGTCAGCTCACTGGAGTCGGCCCGGTCAGATCTGGAACTGGAGACTGATGTAAACGTGTCACAGCTTTTAGACTTCAGACCATCCTCTCGTGCTTCGGTCTCATCTAGTTTACTGTCCGCTGACTCGCCCATTCCCAACTGTGGAGTGTTTTTTTCTGGTTCCTTTGAAGGCGCTACGTCTGTTCAGTCATCATTTGGATCCGTTTCCCCAGATTTAGATTGTGAAACGGTCTCTTTGGCTCCACTTTTCACTGAAAACAGGCCGCTCTCTTCAAACTCAGTTGATGGACACCTTTCATCTGAGTCTCCCATCCCAGACTTTGGACAGGTGGTACTAAACTCCCATGGCTTTTCCTTAGTGGAGAAATCTTCATCTCCAGTCTCAGTTAGTTCAGATATGATGTGTAGGTCTGTGTCACTGGAATCCGTATTTGGTGACAGTCGGTCTCCATCAGTAGATTCTTTAGATGAAAACGGACCAGACGCCCATGCTTTCACCTCTGTTGAGAAAACCTCGTCGCCCGTTTCTGTCTCCTCTGACTTGTATTACAGGTCTGTCTCTCGGGAATCTTTATTTGGTGACAGCCGGCCTCCATCGATAGACTCGGTTGATGAAAATAGGCCACTCCCACCAGAATCACCAGTTCCAGAATTCAGACCGGTTTTACCAGAAACTCATAGGACCCCACTTGAGATGGTCTCCTCACCAGTGTCATTTGTCTCAGATCTAGAACATAGATGTTCCTCTCCGTGGGTCTGCTCTGATAGGAGAACGTCACCTGATTTCTTGCCTTCTGCAGAAGATGACACCATTGATTCACCAATACCAGAGTTCACAGCGGAATTCACAGAATCGCCGTCCATTGCTCCACATCGATTATCATCTCCTGATTCTGTGATTTCTAATGATGATTATGCGCGGTCCGAGGTAGACGCAAGTATTTCCAAACAGGGAGCTGATGCAGAGGTACAGGTTTCTGACAACACACACAGACTGTGGAGTAATAAGGGGCAATCTGCAAAAACTATTAGAGTCCCCGTCTACAAACTAGCGTATGATGCTGAGTTTCGGAAGCTTATTTCTCAAATATGTGATCCTCAATATTCCGGGGAGACATTTTTTAGTAAAACTGGGGTTTTTGAGTATGTTGGAACAAAAGTTGAATGTGTGTCAGAGGACTCAGGGCAGCATATGAGCTCTGATTGTGGGCATTGGTCTGCTCAAGAAAATAGATCAATAAATGTCCAAAGATCCAGTTCTTTAGATCCTTTGAAGTTCTCAGGCTTAGATTCCATAGTTCCTACAGTTTCCAGAGACCTTGCCAAGATGCCTGACTTTGAGGCAGGCGAGGAACATGAACTTTCCATGTCCACAGTTGTCAGCGAAAGCAAATTTTCGTCAGCAGATGAAATGAGGCCGTTATCACCAGATTCACCTGTACCCGACTTCAGATGGGATGAATCACAACTGAATACAGCTGGGTCAGTGTACAGGTCTTCTTCACCCGAGTCAGTGCTGTCAGATGCTGAATATGGTTTCTCAACGCCGTTGGTCTTTGTAGAGCAGAGACCAGACTCATCTGCTTCCCCCATATCTGATTCCACACAGGTTTCACCTCACCCCCTCGTGGTTGTACCCACTGGTAGTCTGCTGTCAGATCCAGGTGAAGGACATGAAAGTGACCTGTTTGCATTAGTACCAGATGAGCATCAAACTAAGTCACTTGATTTAGGGGGGTCCAAAGATGAACGCCAGGCCCTGTCACCAGATCCAGCTGGAGCTCAACCCAGTGTTAGAGTTGTAGAAAGGTTCCCCTCCTTTGTTGAGTTTAGACCAGCATCTCTTGAATCTGTTCCATCAAATGTTGAGGCTACACCTTTAATCAGTTTATCAAGTGAAACTCAAAGAACGGATGCTTCACAGTCAGAGCGACTACAGGAAGACAGATGTTTGTCACCCGATTCTGAGTCCAAGTGTGGGTCTTCTTCACCTGTTTGCCTTTTTCTTAGATCGTCTCCTGAGTCAACCATCTCTGTAGATCAGTTCAGAGCTCTCCCACCAGACACTCCTGTTCCAGAGTTTAGAAAGGTGCCACCAGGCTCCATGAACACAGGGCAGACATCTTCATCTCCAGGGTTGGAGTCATCAGACTTAGAAGAAACAAAAATGAATGATGTGACTTTGGATGACCAGCCGTCATCTCCCGACTCCTCATCACCGCCCTGTAACCACAGAAAACTTTCACTTGATTCCCCAGTACCCGAGTTTAGTCACGTGTTACC